CCTCACCGGGAGACTGAGGGAACTTGCTTCCACAGGAGACTGGGATCTCCTCACCGGAGATCATGGAACTTGCTCTACAGGAGACCGTGGAACTTGCTCTCTGCAGGAGACCGTGGAACTTGTCTCTGCAGGAGACTGGGTAGTCTGCAGTGCCAAACCAGGTTTTTACTATCACAACCTTGGGAGGTTATTTTGCTCACTATGTGAGCTCTTTATCCTTGTCATCCCTCTCACCCCTGTGGGGTTGATGTTTTCCTGCCAATTCCTCCTCCTCCATGTAGGAGCTGGTGTTCCTCACCATTGCCTTCTTCTCATTCCCGGAAGTTGGTATCCTACCCCATCCTCCCCGCCAGCTTCCAGTTTTGGTTGTTGGTTTCCTTCCTTCCACTCTTTTACTTTACCCTTGTGGGTGGTCACCATATACACCTTCGGTGAGCAATTCACTTTGGTAACCTAGCTACCATTGGGAATTCCAGAGTACTCCTTCACACCGTGGTTTGGGGTTCCACGGACAAAAGGTTCGCCTTTTTGGACGAGTCGTCTTGAACTTCCCAGAGTCGCAGACCATCATGTGATTCAAAAGAACACGAAATATCATATAGTTTACCCAGCTACAGAATTTAGGAAAGCTCTACAGCAATTATGCATTCTAATTCTTTAGGGAATTAGGATTGTGTCATTTCATGGCCAACGCGACTAACTTAGATCCATGAAAAATGTATAAGATAAATTTGATAAAACCACACGTAGTAAGGGAAACAACGGAGCACTCAGAAGTTTCAGCCCATTCAAGACATCTTTTAGAGGCAATTGATTATATGGACAGAGATGAAGACAGTTGAAAGACCTGAAAACATAGAGGTCAGGCTACAATGATGTCAAATCTTACTAACCCCTGTGCCACACCAACACACACAATGTAGAGGAGCTAAGGGTGGGTGACGTGACTAGTCACGTCAGGCAAAAAAATAAGGATCTACCAAATACTCATCATACATCTAGATCAATGTAATCCAGTTAGTTTCTGAAGATTGTCTCATAATAAATATTTGGAAGTTATGTGCCCGTCGTTTCCCTTTCCTGTACTTACCAAGATATATATATATATATATATATATATATATATATATATATATATATATATATATATATATATATATATATATATATATATACTATATATATATATATATTCTGGATCTATTTCCGGTATATAAGAATGAATTAGTCTATTATGGTGAAATAACCCAGTAGCCGTATCTTATATATCCCAGATATGGTTTATAGGTGTGTGCTTATTAAGTGCCCAGAGGAGATATGTGGTTAGTGATCCTATATATGTGTTCTTAACTTTATACAGTAGAGGTTCATAGTTTTATTGATAATTTTAATGCTTCAACAAGTCATTGCTGCTGTGTTATATAGCAATGAAAAAAAAAAAGTTTAGTTTTTCTTTAACTTTTAAATACCGATTGAAGATGAGTACCAAATTGGGGTGAGTGGGGAGTAGGGGCCTTTTCTTAGGGTTTAAGTCATAAGAGGACTCAGACTTTATAAGTTAAGAGATTACTAGGTATTTGAATTAAACCATATCTTTCACCAACTATTGTAACATTTCTATATTTATATTTTATTCTACTTATTTCCATGTTATTTAATATCAACTCAGTACCGTACATGTACATCATACTACCATTGCCGGTGTTACGCCCATCAACACACCGCGCAGTCAGCTGGTATCGTAAACAGTTTGACTTTACGTATCCAAATGATTCACAGCTCATGAGGAGTCAAAACATCTTATATCCTTCTAGTGAATTTCAGTTGACCAATCATCATCTTCCCTGAGCTTATAGTCCACTTAGACTCAAAGAAGCCAATAGCCATTGAGAATTCTGTGCTGCCCCATATAAAAATATGTTCTGCACTCACACCGGGAGCCTCGCTTCACCACTTCCAGTGTTGACACTTTAGTTGACTTACTCTCTGCACTACAGGACCTTATTTACTGCTAACGTATCTTGCCATCTTCGTCTCTCATATATCAGATAACATAACCCCAACCATTGCTCAAGACCTGGGGGTATTGTCTCACCTCTCGTGTTTCTACGTGACTGGCGTAATACTCTTTCCTGTGCACTTGTGGTGATCTCCCCAGTTTTTCATATATATATATATGTGTGTGTGTGTGTGTGTGTGTGTTTGTGCTGTGTAACCTCTACTCTGAACTGGTTTTCTGCCATGTCATTATGCCTCACGTTAACTATTTGTGTAACCGTTCTTTCTAAATTTACTTAAGTGTAAATAGTTTTAAGTTATAGTTACCGTTATTTTATACTTATTTGTTTACTTCACCCCATTTACCCTAGTGGAAAACAATATTTGAGACATTGTTTTATGTAATATAGAGAAGTTGAGCTGACCATCTCTTATTGAACTCTTTATCTCCTTAAAGTTAAACTAAACAGGTCATCATAATTTTGGGGTCCTTGGTCATTAACAACTTCAATATATAAGAAAGGTATAAAGAGGCATGTAATTAATATTTATTACTGAAACTGGAGACTTGCTTAATACCTGTACACTTTATAATAGATGCCATAGATAACAAAAATGCTCTTTCATATGTGATGCTGTACACATTACATGATATATGGATACAAAACATTAAAGCCAAGATTACTGAAAAATTATGGTAAAGGTAAGATATAACTTCAATTTAAATTCTCAAGTAACATATCTACAGTATATAAATATAACTTTTGGACTTTCTTGAAGGTAAATTCAGGGGTCATATCACTTTTTTTCACCATTAATTGGCTCGTTAGGGCGGTCGCTCACGTCTCTGTTACACACTAGACATGTACTGAAAGAGCTCACACTCGGTGTCGTCACAACACTACCCTTTACTGATGCAGCTTTAGAGAAGAACTTTAACACCTATGTCTAGTATCCATATATATCTTCACCTGAAAATTAATATATTTGGGAGTCCTGGGCATTGAAAAGTAAAACATTATAACAATGATAAACAAGAAAGCAATTTGACCAAGGATAGCCTACAAAGTCATCAAATACTTATTTCTAGTAGGCTTCACTGAGTAATATATCGACACAAGTAAACCATTCGTTCTTTCCCAACTTAATTTTCTACAACACCAGTAGAATTAGTGGCTTAGTGTAGTTACTGGGTGATCATTTTTATTCGAGAATTTTAAATAAATCCCATACTAAAAATTACATCAGCTGGGAACCTAATAGTTTGCATAAATGTAGCCTAATGTTACAGAAAGACGTAACACATTAGTTGAGTTTAATGGTTTTCACTCAGTCATACCATGGTGCTCACTGTGTTTGTGTTGTATCGGTGGTTTGATTTTGTGGTTTTTATATTTTCCTTTATCGCCTTCACCAATGGGCGTCTCTTGAATGTCTCTGAACCTGTGCTTCTGTTGACTAAGTCTGATTTTAACTTCACACTCGTGCCATCACAACATTCTCTGGCAGTTTAACATGAAGCTGTGACACTTAGTGGGACGGCCATCCGCTAACTCCACGTATGTGTACATGATTGGGTAATGGCCTTTGAGGTTCTTTATAAAGTAGACAGTTGAAGACGCTCTTACCTCTCTTGGTGCATAAGGTGATGAAGTGTCGATACCAGTTATACTGACCCTCTCTCGAACGTTTTTGGCCATATAGATAGAATGTTTTCTTCCACTCAAACGTATGCATCATCAGTTTTACAACGTGAACGTTTTCCTTACGTCATTACTTCGTCGTTAGTGTCGTAACATCTAACAAACGACTGGTTGAACGGAAGCTACATATTGCCCCAACAATTGAGTAAAATCCTGTGACATGTGCCGGGAGAAACATTCCCCCATAAGAAGTCCTTAACGCGCTGGCAGGGACAAACTGATAACCACAGCTCCCACTGCCTCTGTCGAATCACAACACCCATTAACATCGCAGCTGCTGCTGTGATTAAGTGTGGCGCTACTCAAGGTGTTAAAGGAATCTACAATGTTTTTATGGATCCGATGAAGCTTATACAGGGTTCAATTTGACGCTACAATACTGTATTGTAGCGTCATAACCCATAGGGTTATGACAGTATCCAGTGGTAAAACATATTACATGCAAGTTTTCATTGTAGTGAATCTTACAAAGATATAGAATATTGAGAATTATGTATTTAATTTTGCTAAAATACCGTGAACACCACGAGACAGCATATATAACATGTTCTTCAATCTTCATAGTAGGCCTATACAGGAATTAAACGTAGCATCTTGGTTTACGTTTCACGTACAGTACATATAAAGAAATGTGGAATTTATGCAAACCAGATTTACATAGTAATTTTTAGCGTAAATACATGTTGAACCACTGTAAACTTGTATGAAGATTTTAATTACAAATAATTATTTATGTATATATCAACAGGTAGACTTACACCCTCTGCTTTTATGATGATATACATAAAAGACCTGAGTTTTTTATTAACAAGTTACAATATAGTGTGATGTTATATTCCCACTTTAACACAATATAATAGAGATCTTATATTTTTTGAATGGTGCAACAACTGGATACTAGGTTTGTTAATGGGAGAATTTTATGCTTTCGTTGGGGTTTAAAAGCTATATAATAATATTTAGTTTAATATAAAGTTTTGAATAGACGAAGAAAGCTAATTTTGAAAGCTCAGAAAGTAAGATGTGAATTAAATTTGATTTATTATCATGTGGCAATACTGCAAAGGCTGAAATACGAAAACATATAAAACGAACTAACCGCCGTGCAGTATGTATTTATGCTATTATTTTCAATGATTCTATTTTTTCGATTAAAATGTAAATTAATTTTAAACTTAAAATTGCATATATAAGCTAGTAATAGTTCACAAAGTAATTATAATAATGTGATTAATTGCAATTATTAATGGTAGGTTAATCCCTTTAACTTGTTTTCGCTTTTCAGTGAGAGTAAACCAACTGAAGAAGGATTAATATAAACACACCCTCTTGTGTCGTCTTCTACCCGAGTGATTCTCATTATTTATTGACCTTTAAGTGCACCTGTACTCCCTATTATATTATAAACACACTAAAGGTATAATTAGTCTGTGATGAACATGTGGTGGGAGTACTTATTGTGATAAAGGTTGAAATAAGTGTTTGTGTTGAGTGTAAGAGCTTGAGAGTGATTCATCTTTATGGTGTAGGATTTGTCTTGTTGGGTTTATTGTCTAAGTTATCATTATTTAGCTCTCATCTGTTGGATGGTTTGTTAGTAAGTAAAGGGTTTTATCCATTAGGTAGGGTTGATTCACGGTAAAGATCTGAATTAGTTTAGTGAAGGCCTGTGTTGTATTATCATATTACACTCAGATTTAGTGCCAATTACTGACAAAAGCTGTCGAGGAAATTCTGTACAACAAGGGGTAATATTGAAGACTGTTTCACGTCCTGGGCATCATCTTTGGGAAATCTCTCCCTAGCGGTCCGACTAATTACCCAAATATAGCCGGAATGAAGTCAAATAATGGTCCTAGATGAATAAATCGGACTGCCAATCATTTCTCGACTAGTATTTGGTGTCAGAAAGTCACACAAAATTGGAAAACCCACTTTAATCTGAGTTAATACATCGCGCGCATGTACCGAGGGAGCGAGGAATTACCCAAATGTAGCCGCAATGAAGTCAAATGATGGTCGTACAAGCGTAATTCGGGCTGTGAATCACTTTTCGATTATTATTTGGTGTCATTAAGTCACAAAAAATTGGTAAACTTAATTTAATCTGAGTTGTGTTGTGTTAGGTTAGGTTAGATTAGATTAAGTTAGGTTAGATTAGATTAGGTTAGGTTAGGTACATGCACTTGATCTATTAACGTGCAAGTAATATATATATATATATATATATATATATATATATATATATATATATATATATATATATATATATATATATATATATATATATATATATATATATATATATATATATATATATATATACAGGTATTACTGTATTATTAATATTATTTCTAATTGTTTTGAAATTACTGATTACTCAGAACTTTTCCAGTTCCAGGTGGGAACAGAGGCAAGATGGTTCGTGACCGACTGAAAGAGTTTCGAGAAATCAGTAAACGTCAGAGTACTGCTGATGAGGACGTGGTCACAATCTCCTTTGATGGGAATGATGACCAGAAAGTCCTCATGGAAAGTCTTGACAAGATTGGACCTCTGTATACACAGTTAAAGGTATGTATAATAGGGGCAACAGTTATGGTACTGTATTTTACACACACACATACACTCACATATACATGCACACACATACACACACACTTAGGTATATATATATATACACTAGATGAGCCTCAATAACTAAAACATTTCACCTGAAATCTTTTAATTCTCTTCGCTTATGTAATGCTACACACCTTACTTGCCAATCAGTCAGCTGCTAATAAACTCAAAAGTAAGATAAAGGTGTTCAATTGGTCGGTTGCTGTTCATACACCTTGAACTACAGGGTGATTCACTTACTGATAGCCTGCTAGATTGATTTATTATTTCAGCATTTGTCAGCTTACCAGCCATTTGGGTGGTTGGTCTGTTCTTTGTTACTTTTATTTTGACCTTTATTGTCCAGTGTCAGTATAGGAAGAAACCTGCCATGTACAGCCCCCCCCCCCTTTGAGGTAAATATAATTCAGTAGTGAAGGGGTTAATAGTGTTGAATATCCAATTTAGGTAATGTTAAGGGTACCATAAGTCCTTCAGTTTAAGGTTAACTTAACTTATAATCTCTACTTTTTAAGGTACCGTATACATTAGTACTGTACTGTATATTGATACTTTAACCCTTAAATGGTAGCCATCATCAGTGGACATTTCATGTTCTTTGTGTTCCATTTTGGCACATATGGGAGTGAATCAGGGAATCCTTAGCTGCTGGTTAGGAGTTAAATCTTGATATTTATTTCAGCAAATGATGGAATCAGTGCATGACCTCAGGACAATGGTACACGAGCATGACAATCGCCATAAAGTGGAAGATAAAGTCAACAGTATCAAAGCTCAGGCTAGAAAGCTACGCATGTCATTACAGGAGGTGAGTATGGAGACAGCTTTGTAGTTTACTAATGTCATTTTGCAACATTTGTAGAGGGTGTTACCATCCTTATTTAAGTTGTATTACCATATTCCAATTCCATCCCTTCATAATGTGATGGGGAGATAATTTTAGTCTTATATTTTTTATATGGGTTTTTAGTCCTATTTACATAGTTATTGCGTCATAAAATTTTCTTAGCACTGTCTAATGAGTTAATGAGTTTCATATTGTTTACAGATAAAAGCTAGAAGTGAGAAGACCACCGGGGTCACTCACCACGTAACAAAAACACATCACGTCGCTTTAGTTATCCACTTGACCCAGGTACTGCATGAGCTATCAGTAATGCAGGCTGACACCCATGACCGCCATGCTCAGTATGTGAGAAAGGAACTCATTATAACAGGCAAGTGGATAATGGTTAAAATGAAAGATGTGGGTGAGTCTGTGTGTATATGTACAGTTTATGAATGTTTCTGGTAACTCACTTGTCATTTGACTTCCTTTCTGCCATAAATGGGATTCCAATTTTTTATTCTGAAAAATTCCTCAGTTATTCTATTTTTTGAAATATTTATAAGCTAGATTAAAGGTTTCCATTCTTTGTGCACATCCATCATACCTTGCTAGTCTTACAAAAAGTATGCAATAAGCATCTGGTGGCTTTGTTGGCTATTTTCAGTCAAAATGTCATCTTAACTTTCTAAGTACTGTACTGTCCATTAGAGTGTATACAGTACCTGCACAGTCATGTATATTGTATACCTGCATTGTCTACATACATGATGAACTGTATACCTGCATTTTCTTATACATGCTGAACCAATTGTAAACTTATATGATAATTGCACTGAATAAATATCAATTAATCCCTCTACCTTTCAATAACTTTACTCTTGTTTTGTTTTGTTTTGTTTTCTTAGGTCAAGCAGGTATTGATGAAAATGAACTTGAAAGTCTCCTGGAAGAATCGACAGAAATATTTACACAAAATATTATCCAAGAGACACAAGTAGCACGGCAACAGCTTCATGATCTGCAGGAGAGACACGACGCTTTTATTAAATTGGAAAAATCTATCACCGAGTTGTATCAGTTATTTCAGGTATGGTGAATGAAAGTCCCATTAATAAAGTGCTTCTGTAGGGAAATTGGATAAGAGCTGTCTTTGTAATACAGGGGTACAGTATTGATGTAATAATTGTATTGTACTAGGACATTAACTTTAATAACTGTGGCCATCATCAGTGTAGAGACAGTGGCTATCATCAATCAGTGTTTTCACATTCCTCGTGTTCCATTTTTGTGCATACTTCAGGGAATAGGGAATCCTTATCTGCCAGCTAATGTTGAATTTTATTTTATTGCAATTATTTCCAGTTACTTGACCGATGTTAGTAATTCTTGATAATTTTACAGGAAGTGGCTCTATTGGTACAAGAACAAGGAGAGACTATAAATAGGATCGAAAACAATATATTTGAAGCACAGACCAAGACAGAGAAGGCAAAAGTAGAGCTGGTGTCTGCTAGGATAAATCAGACGAAAGCGATGAAGAAGAAGTTTATAATCGCTCTCATTGTTGGAGTGATCCTGCTGATTGTCGCCCTCATCTTAATTTTCTCTGTATGTGATTGTTGTTGAGTATTTTATATATAATATTTAGAGATTGTAATATGTGTGTGTGCGCGTGTGCATGTATGTTTCATCCCAAGAACTTTGTACCTTTATATAATACAGTACAGGATGCTTTTAATTCTTCAGATTGTTAATTGTGTCCAGTCATTGGTACTCTTAACACCATACAATATATCCAAATTTCCTGGGACTGTTCTTAAGATATTTTGTAATTTATCAGTTTTTGTCATCTCAGTGTGCAGGTGTATGTGTGTATACAGTATACAGTAGTTATGTTCCCCCTTATTCTGTTTTCATGATTATTATAACTTCATATCTCATACTGCATTTAGTCTGTTTAATTGTAAAACTCTTCTTGGATGCAAAAGTAATATGTTAGGATATTATGTTCCTGGGTTAATGCTTTCAGTTTGATGTTGCATTGGCAGTGAGTATCAGGATCTGTGGGTTTGTCAAATGTTTACAACTAAAATAGGTTCTTCTGAGCCATTATAGTACAGTATTTCCTCATTTGTCTCTTCATTTAGTACCCAGTTAACTATCTTATATATGTGTTTTGGTTTGTCAGGTGTGGGTTTATGATCTATCCTTACTAACATATTTTATATTTGTACAAAAGATTAAGAGTTTGAAATACACTTAACATAGTTGTGTACTACTGTGTTAATTGTCATACTGTAGGTAAAGTATGACCCACAAGGAGTCCATTAGACCCATTTTCTGTACTGAGCTTATGAATACACTTTACCATAACACTAATTTTTGAACATGCTGGACATGTTTTTGTTTTGTTTTTATCATACTAGACATAGTATGGCATGCTCATTATGAAGCTTCAGTGCTTTTGACGTGATTGGTAAGTTATGTTTCATTAATACCGGTATGAAGATTAGATTCCATTAGACTTCTTTTCGTTTTTGAAGTATATTCAACTGATAATGTGGCGTATATTGTATTTTGATTTATAGTTTCTAGACTTTTAACTCCCTTTTGTATATATATACATTTCTTTATTTATTCATTCATTCATATATTTTTTATATGTTCATTAAAAGATAGTTAAATGCTTCATTCCTAATTATATTGACTTATCATATGTTCAAATTCCATTAAGTAAAATTAGTAGGTAATCTTTCCTGTCTTTAATGTCTGTCCCATACTTTCATCCAGTTCCATATATTATCCTGATCTAAATGGATTTCTTTGTCCTTTACACACAATGGTACTAATAAATCAATTGCTTTGCTTTGGAACCTTGAGGTCAGGACACTTGACAGTCAAAACACCCCATGAATGCAGATTATTTTTCTCAGGGTCCCTCTTTATTTGATGAAACTTTACTTACATTGATAGGATAGATCAAACACTTCATTAATCACACGTGTGGACATTTTCTTTTCAGCTTCATGGACTAGAATCGTATCAGTAATCAGGGCACCAAGTAGTTCAGAGTTATATACCTTCCAAGAGATTGACTGACTGACTGACTGGTCCCATATAAGATTAACTGACAATTTAGGTCTATAGCCTAGCTGACTGTACAACAAAATCCAGCATCAGATGTGATTACTGACCAAATCTTACTCAGTGTAGGACTGTGGGAGGGGAGGGTTATCATCTGTAGTCAACACAGAAAGTGTCATAGGCTAGCGTCTTGAAGTTCAGGTCAATTGAGGTCACATGTAGTGCTGCAATAGGAAGTCCAGGTCAATCAGGGTCAAGTATGGTAAGTATTGTATGACCTATCTAGATAAGCTCATAATTATATATGTATAAACCTTTGACTTCTAAGCTATAGGATTTTTGTTTTATAAATGTTCATTAATGAAAACCTAGAGTGCCCTGATTATTGAGGTTACACTGTACAGTACACTCCATTTGAAAAGTTATAGGTCCTCCACTTACATGCAGAGTATAAAGCCTTATACTTTTTGTTGTTGATTAAAGTAGAAGTCCTGTACAGTATATATGTATATAGAGAAGTTTGCATCATTTAATTGAAGTGTTACAGTGTTTACTGGCAACAATATTAGCTACCATCTTTACTTTTATTGTTTAATATCATGGGATGATAATGAATCAGCGAGTCCATTTATAGTTTGAACTGTGATGTAATAAAGTGTTTATTTTTAATTTTTACGGTTATACATGTGGCACCTCCATCACCTCCCTTTCTTTTTTCAGTTTACTGGATGAGAGTGAGATGAATCCACAAACCTGTAGAAATACTTTGTCTCAACTAAGACTTTGCCTTTCCCATCATCTTACGTGGGCAGCAAATGAACTGTGATCTATTTCCGTCTTCAGCAGCTGTGCTATGATTTCATTGTGTGCATACTTGAAGCTCCCTGAGAGAACATTCACCGTCTCGTTTCTTCAATATTTAAGGTGCTATGGATCTCTAACATAGTGTGCCTCTCCTCTAATGTTAACTTATAACACAGAAAGTCCCACTAGTGTTTTGTGTTTGAAGTATAACTGATCCTTGATGTATGTTAGTCTGTGTGACATGACTGTGTTGCCTTTTAACATGTGACATGGCTTATCCCTAGAGTGCCTGAGCTTGTGATGTGGTATAATGTCGTCCGTAAGGGTTGTAAATATAGATCACCCAAAAAAGTAATGATTTCCTGGGGCTTTAGTAATTTTTCTGCACAGCTGATAAGTGTGTGAATACTGAAAACAGAATTATTAATTTTTCATGAGGATGTTATAAGCTTTGTTGTCATACATTAAAATCTCATAGCTAGTTTAAAGTGTGGTATTTAATAATGATTAAGGTAATGATAAATGGAGCTGTGATAGATTACATACGACCAAGTTACATTCATCTCAATTTTCAGCTTTTGGGGGGGGCAGCTCTGAGAATGTCTTTCCTGACCTACAGAGAAAAATACTATATACTCTCCCAGCTCTAGCTCACTCACAGGACCCCCATCTTGTGTGCACTAACCACTCATCTTTACCCACAAATGTAGCTGATTAATGAACACCCAAATAAGATTTATTACATATTTTACACAAGTAGTAATCATGAGATATACTCCACAAACAAACTCGTAAAATATAAATATTCTGGCATTTGGTTTTGGATGGTTAATGAATTAAAGTCAATTGGTTGTGTGTTAAAGAACAGGACCATAATGTGGAATTTTATACATTTGTAGGATTACTTCAGGTTTTAAAGGGTTTTATATACAATAGTCAAAATTACCTCAGGCCAGTTGAAGTATGGCCATATATGTACTCCTGACTTGATATGTGAGTAATTGATGTTATTTAAAGAATCATAATGTACTAATAGTAAACATTTGACTATAATATCATTGAAAAAAGTAGTATACTATTCACTTAAACATAAAAATTGTTTTTTAAAAGGAAGAACACACACAGATCAATATACAGTACCATAATTTTTGCTGTACAGTATTAGAGTGCAACATTTTCCTTCATTTTATGATTTTGTTTTTCCTTATTAGTTATGGTAATGGTATGTATCTGATGTGAGAATTTTTAAGAGATCAGATCAGGTCAGGAGTTCAGTATCGGCAATATAGTGTTGGAACCTGTGTGTATAATAGGCATGTGTACTGTGCCGATGGACCTGAAAATCGGTGTCATCGTCAACCACCAGTCCATCAACTGAAGCATCCATAAATATTCCAGTGTTTTGGGGGAATACATATCACCCCAACTCATTTGAATTTTTATACATTTTATACATGTTTAAGTTGTTGGTATGGCTGATATTTGATCCCATACATGCACTATAAAAGTCTTCTTAACTTTCAAACTTAAAAAAAAACCAGTACAATATGCTACCAGCTCTGAACCTTTGAAATAGATAGCCTGAAGATTCTAACCCCCCTCCTCACCCCAGCCTATTTCACCTACAAGATTAACCACCCTAAAGCTATTTTGGGGATGGGGGTTAGATTAGTGTTAGGGGAGTTAAGCTTTAGATGAAATAAGCTGGGGACTTGGGGGAGGTCATCGGGGGATACTTTGATACAACCTCTAAATATATCAACCCGTTTAGTAATGAAATACACCTAACAAACACAGAAGATGAAATACAAAAAAAAAATTTCACATTGCTGTAATATGTAGAAAATCTTGTCATCACTATAGATATAAGATCGATATATTTTTCCTACACTGATATTTTTTAATTTATTTTGTACGTCTTGTATACTGTATAGCACAATATGCATATCCTCACCTACTAGAAGTTACCATCAAAATTACCTATTGGGTGGAAACTTAACTGTACACATGAATTACTGGGAATCCTTGTGTCTCACTTGGCCACTTGGTTAGGTTAGGCCACTTGTTAATGATTCTGTACTATCTCTATTTTCAGACATTCATTTAACACGACTATATTACTGTTTATATGTAATTTTTCCACTTGTTTTCTCTTACCTAGTTGACTGGTGCCTTAACATTGCCAGTACGTACTTGTTTCGGAACAGTTATGTTGCCTTGATACAATTTGATCTGTGAAGGTTTGATGATGATGGTGTGTGTATGTGCATTTATATTACTTGTTTTGCTTAGAATATTGAGGAAGATAGAATATTGATTGATATAAAGTACTGATTTTTTTTATATATAGCCAGTGTTCATTCTATATTATTTTGTTCCCCTTGTTAAAAAAAATAGTATGTGTGGTTTATCATGTTCATCTTGAGTACCTGTAGAGTACGCCCATCAGAGATCATATATATCTAATAAACGTAATCTTTTGAAACTGTCTATCTAGAAGCAGTATATCTGGGGCCGTATCTCTAAACCTTGAAAGACATTAATGTAGTGTTTTTAAGTTCTTTTATATCTGTGAGTCAGGTTTATTCTTTTCAGTGTTCAATTCTCTTAATCCTCATCAATGTAAAGTAAGACTTTAATTTGTGATTTCCTTAATAATGTACAGTTTTGAGTTCAATATAATTTTAGGTTTAGTAATTAATAAACTTGCTACATCTCTGTTAACAAAATGCTTGTTGAAATATTGAAGCTGAAGCATTTCTATTAACTAGCTTCATTATTTCCTAGCAGACTGAAGTAGTGGGATTAATATTCCTGATTTATTTCTCAGTTATTTCCTCATATCTCACCCTTAATATGAAGGATATTTTGGATGTCTCTAAATGTTGTAATGTCAGAACTGTACTTATTTTGCACATAGAATGATTACTAGAATTTACAGACTGCACAAATGAATTGGTAATTTTTACATTTGTCTGGATGTTCCTGTCTTTCACCTTGTCAAGTTCAGCTCCTATGTTCTAAAAGACAATGAAGACCTGTTGTTACTTTCCTGATATCAGCATCATTGTGCAGTCAAGATTTTGCATTAGTTTCCTATTCTTTAACAAATGCTCTAGTTCATTCCCCTTTTTTATTTTCTAGAGATAAGACGTTTATTCTCCCTTCTTTTATCTTTAGTTCCCGACAATCAGTCAGCCACTTCGTAAATGGTCTGCTTGAAGTGAAAATTGCCCTCCTAATAGTTCCTGACATATTTCCTCTACAGTACAAGCACATCATATATGTTCAATTAAGGTAAATTTGTGGAGTTGTCGCTCAAGTTGGTAAGGAAAAATGAATTGTGTATATATTTTCTAGTACGTACAATGGATAGTCATGAAAAATTAAGGAGATCCTGAAGGTTAATGAATGAGAGGAAAATGTAATTTATGAGGTGTTCATTTATTTGTCTTTTGTAGAGTTAATTAATGTTGAATATTAAAAAAAACACTAATGTCGATAAAAAAAGCTGTAACGCTACATAATAAATTTTATTAGATGAAGAAGTTTACGGTATATATAGAAGCAGATTTTGTAGGGTGAGAGTTTTTCTGAAGAGGAAAATAAAATAAGAAAATTTAGAAGGGTTCCAGTGTTTTGTAAACTTGGGAAATTTATTTGTATGGATGTTGGAAAGTAGAAATGTGTTTCAAGAATCAGACAGGTGGTAGTAGTGTAAAGACTTCGATAAGGTGCAATAATATATGTGTAAACGTGTGAGGTACAGTCTTTTGCTGATATATAGACTAGACTGAAAAGACAGATAATGTAATACTAAATTTACAAGGTGGGAAGAGCGAAAGTAGTAGAAATTGTATTATTGAGCAAGAGTGGATAGTGAAGAATGCATATGTGAGAGGAGTGTTTGGCACAGGAAAATGGGCATGTGCAAATAATAGATGGGAATAGAATGATGAGAATATATATATTTGTGTGAGAGGAAAGAAAGGAGGTGCAAATAGATATTGAAAGGAAGGTAGAAAGACAGTGAAAGCGACTGAGTGCTCAGGGGTACCATGAGAAATGCAGTGGGCAGAGTAGTGCATTAATAAATATATTTGTAAGAGAAACTAGCTACCCTGCTGGACAGTGGGAGATATAATATTATATGTATATAGAAGAATAAGAAATATGAAACCACATTTGCATTTTGTGTTCCTACGAATTTTATACCAAGCAGATACTAGTGTCATGACTCAGTAGTGTCTTATCTTGTTTTGCTCGCAATAAACTGTTTCTTCACCTCTCTATGCAAATCAGACACCCAATTCATACCATGACCTGTGTTTTATGTTGAAACAGTTACTCACACCAATAAGATTAGAATATATGGGCAAGACGTTATTAAATACACTGGCAGTGTCTGATCGTGTTAGTCATCCCTGGTCTCATCTTTACTGATTAACATAAGGAGTTCTTTAAGTGTGGTTGATGCAGACAAGGGTCACATGTTGGTCACCCTTGTTATGTTATAATCTGTTAAGAACAAACTTGTGTTATTTTTCCATTTATTTTTGTGTAACTGTTTTCATACTCACTCAATATGCATTTATGCACATCAGTCTGCCATCCTTATTTATGATAACTGTATTATATCTATGAGGAACTAATAGAACTCCATCCAAAGTTTCTACACCGTGTATGTTCACCAATTCAACTTACACACGCACACACTAACTATAACTAATACATATACACACATGTAATCCTGTAGCCCATGATTGTGATCCTCCAATGTTTAATCCTCTCCCCTTAATTATATTTACTCCATCCATTCATGTATACAGTACTGCCTTTAGTTTTCTCTTCACATTTCATCTCTTGTAAGTGATTTCCTGTATATTCTCAACAGACTATTCACAATGCCTATCTCTGAAGTCCATTCCAGTAGATTAAGATTGAATGTGTTTTGTTATTCACCATCACTCATGCTTTGTAATCACCTTCTAAATATCCCTTATACTGTATTTCCCCATATTTACTCCATATATTAAGCTGTAACTAGCATCCCATGTCTAAACTTATTTCATGAAACATTATAAATCAATTCCATACATTTGCTCTTAACTATATAGTAATCTTTCTTGCCATTCCATATTTATTTAATAAGTGTTGTAACTTGTGCTGCGATGGCATAACTAACAACACCCATGATATTTATAACATTCCATTAGATTATGTGTTAGTGGGTATATTTTCTTGTGTGAGGTAATCTATTTTATAATGGTAGTCTTGAGTGTTTATAAAGTGGCTTATTTGACATCTTTATAATCTAACCCATCCACTTTTAAGGGGAGGAATGAAAGCTAACATGTGGACTCTTTATTTACCTGCAAGTTTGGCTGTCACCTACACCCCTGACAACATGCCTTCATACAGTAGCCCATTTTAACCACAGCTCAGTAATTGGAGACATTCATATTACCTGTCAAATATTTCAGCGACTTATGTATAATTATTGTTTTTATAAATGATAAAGCTCATTTGACTGTCGTGTTTTTATTTTTATTTTCAATAATTTAGCGAGGTGTATAACCTAGCTAATCTGAAGTGTCCATTAAAGTTGTTTGCTGCTTTCCTTCTCTGGCCATTTTTTTAATTCTGGTAAATGTTGATATAATACATCCCCCCCCCCCACCCCCTTTCTGATAATATAAATCATCGAATAGAAGAAAATTTTGCATAGTTTGAGCATAAGAAGAGACAGACAGAAGAGGGTAGAGCTTGATTATGCTTATTTCAAGGTACCCAAAAAAGATTACTTACCGTAGTATCATCATGTCTGTCTGCACACAGGGAAAATAATGATGCTAATGGTATCTTATCTGTGTTAAATGTTATTGTGTCATTAGCTTGTGTGTGTTTGTAAGTTAGTAATTCTGAACTTCTCTATTGAATGTAAAAAAGAAATTGTATTGTTTTATTTGTCAATGCCGTTCAGTGTTTGTGTTGTTGGTTGTGCGTACATCTTACAGTAAATCCTTATGTTTTGTAATTTAACTTTCACTTAACACAAGCAATGTCTGGGCTGCATTTTTTTTTTGACATTGCCATTGTGTTGTAGAGGTCTTGTGGCCTATCCAAAGTATATTTCTCCATAGATAACATTTTTACTTTTTGAAGAAGAAGAAATAAAAGCTAATATTTAAAAAATATATGAATGGTAGATAATTATACTGTACAGTATGTAAGTTTCATCCCTTTGTGAGTCAACAATATTATACTATACATATCTTATATTCCAGAATAAAATTGGCTTTCATGGAATATTCTTTGAAGAGATAGTTGTTGTGTGTGCTGTATTGTATTTATCCTTTTATTTTTGTTCTTTTTAGAGAAGTATGGTGGATTAAGTTACAGTAAAGTCTGTTCAGCAGCATAGATACTGCACATTAGCCCGGTGTTCATGTGCTCCCAGGTACACACGTTGAGCTTTAGCTTAAGAAGATTTAGCTGCACATTGTACAATATTCCTTTAGTCAGGCAGATATATTGTCAATTAGTAAGTCAGCAAATTAATTTCTACTGTGATTTTTTTTTAATGACAGAGGGATCTTAGTTTATTTATTTAAGAATCATTAACTGTACTGTACTGTACTTTTTATTAAAGTTTATTACTGTTTCTTTAGGTAGTGACAGTTTAAATACTGTATGAAATTTGTGGATGGAAACCTAAAATATCATACAGTTACAGGTCAGCAAATTTTATTATTATTTTATCAATCATTTCACCGCTTATAACATATTAGCCATTTGGGCAGTTGGTTTGATTTTTATTGTCCTGTGTTAATACAAGAGAGAATTTGAGTGCCTGGAGAAAACCTGCCATGTTTGGTAGTGTCTCACTGTACAACACCTTTCTCACATCTGTTCTCGGCTGGGATTGAACCCAGGACACTTTAGAGAGAGATACACTAGTTATCACTGTACCATCAACACCCCCACATTGTGTGGGGTCAATACATCTTGGATCCAAATATAACACCAGATATACATTATATGCCTTTTATAGTTCTTTTCTTTTCAAAATACAAGTATTAAGGTTTATTCATTTCATTTAAACAATCTTTTTATTTGTTTGCGACATCCTTAAGTTGAGGTGCAGGAAGCAGAATTGGTTGTGTACAGTGATAGTATGTGTGCTTCTCACTATTACATCCTGGGTTTGATCCCCATGTCATATGTGAGAAGGGTGTTATCCAGTGTAACCCTACCATGCATGGTCATAACAAAGAACAGACCAAACACCCGAACGATTAGTAAAAATGGTAGAAATGTTCACATTTAAAAACATTTAGCAGTTTACTGAAGCCTAGACTATGTTGAAGCAGCTGTGATATAACTATGATAATTGTTGATGTCACGTATAGTAATTTAGATTGGAGGAAGTTAGATAAGCAATGAGGCTGTGATGTTTGCTTTACTCTTTTATAGTTACTACACACAACTCACAAAGCCATTCATGATAAGGCACTATTGTACAATCACTAACATCCACAGTCAATGGTATTCACAATCCCTAGTATCCAGGCATGTTGTCAAAGTTCCGCTATTGAACCTGGATAAATAAGGAAACAATTAGCTCGGCATAACCAAACAATTAATGACTTGTGCTATAGTTTCAGAGTCATATACCGTCTCCACGGGAAGGAATGAATAGCGGATCGGGACTATTTTTCATGGGTAAATGTAAAATAGTAATTGTCACGAACTTTATGGAGTTTTGGCTTGTTCCTGGAAAAAGCTAAATGTAAATTATTCTTGTGTCAGTGGTGTCATGAGCAGCCTTAATAACACTCCAGAATCAGGAAGCAAATGGTACTTAATATTTTATACACTATTTATGAAGCTCGGAATCAATCCTCGGTTTGGATTACCTGATTTTAATAACATGTTTTGTACAAATAAACCCATTTCACAGTTGCTGCCTTCTGTTTTATTTTGTATCCTAGATGTAAAAAAATGCACTGAGAGGTGGCAGCGGTGAGAAAAGCAAATCAAGATAGAAAAATGCTCCTTCAAGTGAACAAATCTCATGTACATCCCAGTCTGGATTACTGTATACAGGCATGGAAACCCTCCCTCTAGAAAGATCAAACATCCCTAGAAAAGGTGCAACTCAAAGCCACTAAGATGATTCTGAAATTATGTCATCTCGATTAACCAAGTAGACTGAGGGCCTTAGGACTAACAACCCTTCAGACCAGGTATAATAGGGCAGATTTCATAAAACATTCAAAATCCTGGAATGAATGGAAAACATGAACCTGGGACATTCATTTGTGATGTTTGATTATTGCAGGTTGTTGGTGTTTCTTGTTAATATATTGATTCTAACATTTCCTTTATTACTCCTCTCAATACCTGAATATTGTTGGATGTACAGTGATGGAGCAATATGATAAACATGATATTGAATTTAATTACTGGCATTTGGAAGCACTGTGCTAATTTATCTTTTATGTTTCAGGTGTCGTGGCTAAGAACAACCCCTAGTCATCAAAGGAAATTTAGCAACTTTACAACATGAAGGTTAGTAGTGTGTCCCAAACAAAATGCATCACAGTGTTGTAGTGTGATCCATTACAAAACATGACAACTGAACAGCTTTGAATAAAAGAAGTGGCAATTTTGACCAAATCTCATATGTTAATTAACTTCAATAAACCTCCAACTTTTATCAAATCTTAACTGTTCAGTAAAATCTAAACCATTCTTATAATTATTTACCTTCTGTTGATGTTGGCAATGTACACCATTTTTTCTAACTGCAACAATAGTTCACAAGACAAAGCTTCCTTCCATGTTGGCAAATGCATTCAGGATTATATGGCACGTGTAGTCATTGGCATTGTAATAGTTAAGAAAACTAGGGAAAACAATCGTATATATATTTTTCCTTTTAAATCTGAATATTTCTGCATCTGCACAGGACAGTTGTACAGTACATGTGTATCCTGCATTGTATACATAGAAAATATAATACATAACAGTATAGATTTGAAAATAATTAGTGTTAACAATGTGCAAAGTGTGTTCAATTCACAATCACTTCCCTTGGTAAACAGTCAGAGCTACCAACAGTAAGACACATTGAATAATATGTTGGAAAATTAATAAAATATAAACTAACCCATTCAAACAATAAACAGAACACTAAACGTGGATGAGAAATGTCTATGAATTTATTTTTAATGTACTTTAAGAAGTTGAAATTATAAACAAAACAAAATAGCATTCTATTTTCTCTCTCCAACAATTTCCTTTGAACTGATTTTTCATTTATTTACATTTACTGTTTAGCTTCTAAATCAACTGTAGTTTCTTCATTCAACACTGCTGAAGTCGCCTCAATCTCTACTTGTCACAGAAAACCACCACATCAACACTGCTTCACCTACTCATCAAGAGGTCCCTGAAGGTAGGCAGCTGGGTTCTCATCTATTATCTTTACTACTTACCACTTCCTTGTTTTTTATTCCTCTTGACTTTGCTTCATCAGCCTTTGTCTCCAATCAAATCTTTATTCCGACCACAGGATGTTTTGCTATTTTTGTCAGTGTTTTCAGTTTTTGATGATTTTAGACCACAGTTGAATTGCAGCCGCAAGAGGGAGTCATAGTTATGATTGAGTTTACGAAGAAGTGTTAGTTCCTCTCTACTCTAGGTGTACGAACATGAAACATTATAATATTAAACATGAGGCAAAATAGGAAGTACTTGTTAACCATAGGATGAGCTAGGGGCTGCAGGTGGAGCTCCATAGGATGGGCTAGGGGCTGATGCAGGAGGTGCTCCATAGGATGGGCTAGGGGCTGATGCAGGAGGTGCTCCATAGGATGTACTTGGGGCAGCTTTAGGGGGCGCTCCATAGGACGTACTTGGGGCAGCTTTAGGGGGCGCTCCATAGGATGTACTTGGGGCAGCTTTAGGGGGTGCTCCATAGGACGTACTTGGGGCAGCTTTAGGGGGCGCTCCATAGGAGGTACTTGGGGCAGCTTTAGGGGGTGCTCCATAGGAGGTACTTGGGGCAGCTTTAGGGGGCGCTCCATAGGACGTACTTGGGGCAGCTTTAGGGGGCGCTCCATAGGACGTACTTGGGGGAGCTTTAGGGGGTGCTCCATAGGACGTACTTGGGGCAGCTTTAGGGGGCGCTCCATAGGAGGTACTTGGAGCAGCTTTAGGGGGCGCTCCATAGGACGTACTTGGCTTCCCCTTGCCTTTACTCCTGCTTCGACCCCTACGAAATAACCCAAAGATTGGTGATCTACGCCTCCTCTTCAAGGGTTCAAGGTCACTGAGGTCAGCAAGGTCACCGCGGGCTGGAAAAAAACAACATTAGGTGGAAGTTGTTTGGACATACTTCCTAGCCCCCATTAGTCCCTGTTCACCTAGCAGTAAAGTAGGTACCTGCTGTAAGTCGAAAGTTGCGAATTCGTATTCAGGGACAAGTTGTTGGAGCTTCCAATAACTTGAAGACATAAACCACTGACTCTTCAGGCTTCTACGCCCTTAACTCATGAGACATAAAGGCAAGCATGAACTTAGCATGCTTCCCTGTTGGGCGCTGTAAACGCTTCTGCGCTTCACCTTACACAATGATGTAGGGGAGTGCCCAATAAAAAAAAAAAAAGGATATGTTTAGGTTCTTGGTAAGGATAATGGAGGACCTCTGGAGGATAAAATAGAACCAGGAGGATTATAATGATGAACAGAGGTGTTAGTGTGTGTGAGGTGTAACAGGATAATTGACAGAACCTGAAGCAAAGTCGACAATTAAGTATAAGAGATAGCAAGGTCTGTTTGAAGTAAGAAATTAAAAATATCAGCATTAGTTTAAGGCGTGTGCATAAGGAAGATTAATAAATACGAAAGATAATAAGAGTAAGAATATAAATATTAGGTAAGAGGGTGTAAGTATATTGGATAATTGTAAGGAATTAAGGATAGAAATGTATGGATGAATAGAGAGAGTAAGATAAATGTTGATAGGACTCACGGCTAATATTTTCTTCATCTCCAATGTACTGAGTAATGGAGAGACCATCCTCCTCCCCCAGCACCAGCACTGCCACCGCCACCACCACCGGGATCTGCCAGGGAGATGATCAGACGTGACTTACTGCTGACACACCAATGGAACATATCACTGCTTACACATCTCTGGTACACTGATGTCATGATCATGGTAAGTCACTAGTAGATTATTAACAAGGAGCAGTAAACTCTCGTTGTTTTGGACGCTTCTGTTGTAAGGGTCATTCAATAATTTTGTATTGGAATTAAAGAACAAAAAAGATCGGAAAAACACGTAAAAAAATCAATGTAACAACACACTACATACCACTCTTAGCAGTAACATGGAGACCCTGTGATAATATTAACTGAGATAAACAAATTTGGTCGTTGGTGTGAGGAATGATGCTGTGACCTGCCTGGGGATGACACCGTCGGTAAGTGATGGTCTAGAAGCACTGGTACTCTATTATATACTTTACTTTCACTCTCCTGGGGACGGTTGCCAGATAGTGCTTTAGGGAGGCTGTGTTTTTTGGTGTGTGTGTGTGTATTTTGCCTATTTGTTTATGCTTTTGTTGTTTACATAACCTTGTGTACGTGTGTATACATTCATATGCTATGACTGTTTTTTGCATGGACTAATTCTTATAACATTACAAGAGATGCCAAAATACTACTACTACTACTACTACTACTACTACTACTACTACTACTACTACTACTACTAGTCTACTACTACTACTACTACTATGGACAAACAAAAACAACAACAATAATACTATGCTGACCTTCTCCCCTCACCTTTAATTTTGACCTTCAATTCTGACCTAACTTGAGCTATTGAACTGAACCATTTTTAGGGCCTTTAAATGATTGGTTAGGTTAGGTTAGGTCTGGCACTCACTACGTAATACTGCAGGTAGTCTGGATTGCGTGCGTCAGGTAGTCTGGATTGCGTGCGTCAACATATCTTTCAGTGGGTCAGTATTAGTGTAAGAGTGGTGGCGTAAGTGTGTTTGACATCACTCGTACTGTATGCCGGCTCTCTGGTTCATCTTCAAGAACACCTTCAGCTCCGAGAAGAGAGAGACCATTGACTCCTTCAGCCAATAAATCAACAGACTACAAAAAAACACCGTATTTCCCCAGGGTACGGAAGAGACATGCATACATACAGAGACATTATGTACATACAGTATATATATAAATGAAGCGTCATGTCAGGGATGAGGTGTTTTACAGGAGGAACTGGTGCATATTATTACCGGGCCAGCTGACTCTGCCATCCCAGAGAGGAGTCACACGGGCGCGCTGATGTCATCCTCGTTGCACATACATTACATAAGCGGGGCTCTCTGTATCTACACTCTTAAATATTGTAGTAAGTGATCAGATTCTTTTTTGCAATCAGTCATTAATATAGATACTAGTTTTAATTGACTGGCTGATTGGATAATATCACTAGAGCTACATGTACAGTAGCTAAAACAACTATCTGTGCAGGTGGGGGTCGATATGCCCTCATATACCAAAATTATCGTCTATGGTCTCATATTTTTTCCCACAAAGTAAGCACAGATAGTTGTTTTAGCTACTGTGCAGTTAAGGAACAGTTTAAAGATAGTAATAACATTTTTTTGATAATTCATCTCAGTAATTATTATTAATGAACTGGATCGTTTCTTACTACATACATTAACATTGGGTTATAGTTACTGTCTTGTATATCTTTGGTTTCTCTTTCCTCAGCAACCTTCTATCACACCAAATCCTTCAACCTCCCTCTACATAGTCCATTCTACTCTCACTCCCTCATTTCCCTCCTCACAACTTACTCCCGCCTTCAACATCGAGCCCAATTATTTTAAGCTTGTCCACTACATCATATCGTCATTTCTCGCATCCACAATTTTGATCATAATTGTCCTCTCCTGTCTCTACACAATATTACATCTATTTTGTTAGCAATACTCTCAAAACTCCTGCCACTATAACAATCCTCTATGGGGGTTTTATTCTGTTCCTGCTGTCATCATCCATAAATAGGAGCTGCCACAACCACCAATCACCCATATTCTAACTCAATACATCCATCACAACGACAAACAGAAAGGGACCAAATACTGAACCTTGACATACGCCAACTCTCACTTTAAGAGGGTGTGAGTCCTCGTATAAAATCCTTACTGTTGTTTTAACTCCCTTAGTTCATCTTAATCATCCTAACCATACCACCCCCCTTTCATCCTCACGCACCAATCTACCATTTGACTCGAGATATCTATATTCACCATCTACAAACACAGCTTATTTCTCTCTATTACCATTTTTCCTGGATTTCAAAGCAAGATATAGATAACATACAGTGATTCTTTCTACCCTATATGAATGCACACTGCTGCTCATTGATGGTCATGAGCCGCCTCACATGTGGTCCACTATACACGCTCCACCACCACCACCGCCACGCGCCATCAACTTAATCCTAGTGTACAGTTTTCACAGTTCATATTGTCATCCTTCCGCTTCTACAGTAAAGGCTGACACACACATGTTTGTAATACTTCTCTCTCTCTCTCTCTCTCTCTCTCTCTACACACACACACACACACACACACACACCGAAAAACTTGTGAGTGACTCAGTATGGTGATGTAAGATGTGCACACTACCAGAAGCGCTGTCGTCACCCATGTTTCCGGCCATCTTCTGAGTGGAACATCTTGCTTTAAAAACACTTCACTGTCGTCACAAACCAATCACTGTATCAGATATATTTGGATATCAGTCTGTCTTTAGATGGGTGGCGGAGTCATACCACAGTAGGGAATAAGCTGTACAGGTATATAAGAACACCCCTTCGATCCTCTCTCCCAAAGTGTCTGGTCTGATGTGTGGAAAGGTTTAACGTAAAAACCCTTGAAGGTTGAGATTGCGTTCCGGTGACTAGTTCTGGGTGTGTTTTGTAGTTCCCTGTAGTTAAAGTGTCTAAAAGTATCGATTCCGGTAGATAAATGCTCTTTGTACCAAGCTTTCAATGGTGATGTAAAAGTAAGCACTAGACAACAATATTCTGGTTGAGTGAGTCGATGTACTGTACCCCTCTGAACGGTGTCCTCATCAGCTTGGGGCATCTTGTTTCAAACTTTTCCCTTTTAACAAACCTCCTATATCTCTTCAATGTGATAATTGGTCTAATAAACACCAAAAATCATCACTTAACTGTTAGAGCGTAGTTATATTTCATAACATCAGCACACGTCACAGAAAAATCTATATACTGTATAATGCATAAGGAGAATAACTTAATAAGATAGTCTGCAATATTGAAATTATAAGCGATGGAAACATGTACCGTCAATTCTCTCTCTCTCGCCCTGCCGATTAATAGTGAGGCTCCCACAAATTTATTATTACGATAGAACATTAGTAACACAGCTCAACAATCTGATATAAGGCTTAAGGTAAGTGTCACCTGGTCACCTCACTGAAAACATAACGTGACTTAACACGAAATGACTGTGACATCTGACTGTAACTGTTCTTTTATCTCCAGTCAAGGAAAGAATGAATGTATGATATGTGAATTTTATATGAACACATACAGAATTATCGCTTAAAATTCCACCGTGAACTTATTATTCTCGTGTTTGTTGTTTAGACCATACTGAAGGATAGGTGCTAGATAAATGAGCTGACTTAGAGAGACCGCCCCAGAATGCAGGTGAACGCAGTCTTAACTAGGAAGAGTCCTGGCTGAGTGAATTGTCATCTACCTTCCTGTTTAGACTCATGTCGGTGGTGAAATATAGAAATTAGATGAATTCGTAATCACAACAGATGGCTGGGTAACGACAGACCAAAGCTGCTGTGTACACTTTCACTGGTGTTTGTACACGTGTCACCTCAACAGATGATTTGTTTCACCACAGTTTGATGTCATAACAATAAAGACCGTAATTATGACCAATAGTGTCTATGGATAACGTAGTTAGATCATTCTCTGATGTAACTCAGTTTTGAACGGTGTTATGTTGTTGGATCTAGAAGCCGTGATTTAAAACGGATCTGAAGTTTAAATATGTGGAATAACCTGAAGATTAGCTCCCAAGTTTATTTCACCCGATGATTAACATCCAAACGTTACCAGTGGGATAGGTTAGCGTTAGGATGGGTGTGTGGTAAGCGTCAGTTAGTTGTTATATTATATAAATCACTGTTTATAGGGTTATAAACCTTAATCAAAAGGTCTTAACTATCCGCCATAATTATAATACGATTTAGCGAAAGGAGTTTAGTAGCCCAACCTGGTAGTTAAAATGCTAAAACAAAAGAACTCGGTAACACTGCTAATTACAAGCTGTCGCCCAGTATGTACTGTAGTGTGATAGCACTATATTGTTCCAGAACTGATTATATTGATCAGATGCTGTTGGCATCTGATCAACTAACCTATTTCTTTTGTCTCCCAGAGAATGATGTGTTGATGGTGATGGTGGAAAACTTGTTATTATAAATAGGCTAACATTCTACCTCCATTTAGTGCTGTTATTTTACAAATATAATTTAGGCGTATACATAAATTGTGTATGTTGTCTCGCTAATAAAATGTGCATGTGCGTGATTTTTTTTGCATGAAAATGGATACAAAAGAATAGAAACGCATCACTTGTGAAATAGGAGTGGAACCTAACACAACCTAACCAAATCGTAACTTATCCTAATCAAATCTAAAATATACTAACTAAATCTAACTTCATTTATTGTGACCAAACCTATTTTTTTCTAATGTAACCTAATCTAACCTAACCTAACCTAAACTAATTTACTCTAACTTACCTACCTAATCTAACATCCTAACCTAACCAAACCAATATGCAGTATTAGAGTTGTTATATTCCTGAAATCCATTGATTCTTACATTTTTTTCCTAATAATCTGTAACGTAAAATTCATTTTGCAAAAATTGATTAAAGTTCCAGTATGTGAGCCTTTTGTTATTAAGATTTTTATACTAAAGGTTATTTTCTTTAATATAACTCTGTCCTCAATTAACTGCATTATAATTGTTCTATACATAGTTAATAATAATAATAATAATAATAATAATAATAATAATAATATTATTATTATTATTATTATTATTATTATTATTATTATTATTATTATTATTATTATTACCACCAACCGGGTTCTCGATAATTTTATCTATACAATCAATAGTTCAAACAATTCTAAGACACTTTTCTTCTATGACATTTCCCGCGCAAACGACCTACTGTATATTTTTATTATTGTTATTGTTATCCATTCAATTAAAGTGATACTCAGTTGGTCACTTTAATGCTACGGTAACACCTTTAATCTCATTCAAAGTCATTTAAGTCCGACATTTAATCTCATTCAAAGTCATTTAATTACCGCATTTAATCTCATTCAAAGTCATTTAATTACCGCATTTAATCTCATTGATGGATCTGTTTATTTACATCTATTTTCTTTGTTTTGTTGCGATTACAGAAAATAGATTTTTTATGAGGGGTGACGTCTTTATTTTATATTATGGTTGTAAGATATAGCATATTTATTACTTTGGTGTACTTTATTTTATTTTATTATTAACTTGATATCATTAATCCTGATAATATATGGACTTACTCAAAACATTAGCAGTGTACTTTGAATGGTTAAATAAATACTGTAGGCGGCGTTATCTTTCCCCATTCCCAAGTAGTGTGTGTTAAGAAAATAATAGATACAGAAGTAAAGAGAATAGACAAGAATACTACAATATATTTCCTCTAATTAATAGTTTGTTTCTAAAGATGGGAAAATCCAGATGATGTAAACAGGTGTTGTTATTGTGAGGGTAACCAATGAAGGTATTCCTGGGGTAGAGACACACACTTACCTAACAAAACGATAATGAATAAAAAATAGTTATTATATTTTAAAATACAGAAAATTCAAATAAGTTTTCTGAAATATAATAAATCAAGTAATGATCTAATATAATGATGGTAACTTCTAGGAACTATTTCACTTCCCTATAACCATTAGTAAATAAACGTAGCTGGGAACAGGCGTTAATGGGAAGGTCTTATTTGAACCTGAGTTTATTAAGTTTAGTTGAGGTCAGTGAATATGAACAATGGAACATGAGTGTTATCAGATCATAGAGTTATGTGTTCATGTCTGGGTTTAGATTCATTTACGTGTTATAGCAGAGAAAATGTCTTCCTTATGATGATATTTCCATGTGAATCATAGGAGGAAACTGTTAAAAAATATGTGTTTAGGTCAGAGGAATTTATTGGATTAAAGAATATGTATTTTATTTTGTGGAGAGTTTCGTTTAGAAATGTGATGATACTTAAATGGGTAAAAGTCGCTCCCGTAATGATTTACTTTCTGTTGTGGAGAATCGTATTGATAATTATATCTACGTTGTCTCGCGTTGGCTGAGAAATTGCTCTCGTTCAGTTATTAGTCATTGTAAGAGACGATTTTTCTCTGTTTCACCAGAAATAAAAATGTAAATTTAAGACTATTGGTTAGGTTGGCTCTACAATTTATCTTTTATTTACTCCTATAGTGGACATTATTATTTTTTTTTTGTATAACATGAATATAATTAATATTTCTCTCTTTTTAAAGGTTTTCTTCATCATGGTTGGTATAAAGGTACACAAGAAACTAACATTGTATTTTTGGGGGATAATCTACAGGTTGGTGGCCTTTGAGGCTGTTAGTCACATTGCTTATAATATTTTGTGTGGCCGGGCTATAGCTACTTGCCTACCTAGACTAATAAAAATGGATCCTGACTAAATCTTAGCTAACATTTACAGTATTATGTGACATATGTTGTATTTCTTGACTGTCATGGATGGCATATTACCAGAATGTCATGCGTGCTGGGCAACATGTCTGGCAGATGATAAACTTAAGATTGTGTTGTTGTTTTGGGAATGAGGTTCAGTATAGTATAGACTCCATAGCTCGTTAGGCAAGTTAATAATATGACTTAACCTTAGGACTTAAGTAGAAGCTGCCTGTACCTGTCTTGGAGCACTGTACCAAATTACCAATAGTATTAGATTTAATTTTACCTACATGATAGTACTGTACTGTATTAGTGGAGTGAACCATTAGTTTATTGATGTAGGATGCTTCATATGGGCATTCAAAATGTTGTCTTTATAAATATACTGTATGTCTGTTGTTTCTAGATGTCTCGCTAAGTTTGTAGTTTGTTCATGAAAATAGCATAGGTAGCCACTGAGTTATGAATGGGTTAGACTCCTGGACCATGTTCATAAATTAGAACTTAATAATTGTGGAAGTGAAGACATTCAAATGCAGTGTTAGTCACATTGCCAACTTGTGTATTGAAGGCTTAGTGTACAGTATATACAGTGTGTTATTTCTACACTGCCTTTAGGACCCATTTTCACTAGCAATAAATCAGTATTTAATTAGCTTCATCTGTACCTGTATTAAGTTCCAGATGATTTATGAAATATACTGTTTACTACAGTGAGTGTAATTAACTAGAATAAGTACCTTAGTTTTAGATACACTTCTAGTACATCACAGTTCAGACATCACCGTTATGATTATGCCAACATAGGAATTGTTATTGTGTCAGTATTGTTTAGCCCCCAAAATTTTTATTCCCTTTTATTTATTAATCATTTACTTGTATCCGAATCACAAAGCAGTTGGTGTTTGTTCAAATTGAGTGATGGGCGAGATAGAGCTGGGAGCGGCTGCAGAGGCCACCATCCAGGCATACAAAGAACTGGCAAGTGACCCTGGCAAGCGATTAGCCTTAGCACTGGTAAGTACGGTATCTCCTGGAGCTGTTACGATAAGTTAGACAATATACTGTACTGACTATTGTATTTTTTGTGTTTGGTCGAAGACAATTAATGTACTGTACAGTAAATGGATACTTTTTCCACAGGATCGGACTTGTATCCAGTTCCTAGCATATGTCATTGCTGAAGGTGAGGGATCCTTAGTACAGTCGGCCATCGAAACTCTGTCCCTCATTGCTGAAGCTAAAGAGTGTCGACCTTCGTTGGCCAATACGTTTGGAGTGCTTGAGTCGCTGCAGAGTGTTACCGAGTATGTAGAGTGTAAACGCCACATTTTGCTCAAGGTTATAGATGATGAGAGAAATTGCAGATAAGGCTGACAATTCTTCACTCTTGTAGGCCTCTCCTAGTACTGTACGTATATATTCCAGGATGACGAGAACCAAGAGTGTATAGATTATCTTTTTCTTTTGCTCTCAGTTAATCACTCTTACTACTGCAATATATGTATTCTACTATGGTCATCAATATCTCCAAGATACTGTACAGGAATCTTATTTACTTTATTCCAATCACTTACCATAACTTGGCATCATTCAGCTACCTAAACCACTCCCTGTCTTGCTCTTCTGTCAGCCACATGTCACTGTATCTTGGTTTTGTTCCCTCATCGTGTTCACTTCCTCCTCATCCATTTCTGAATTATGGACTTTTTTTTTACTGGTATTTTCCCTCATATTCCCTTCATAATTTGAGTTGTTAAACCCCTTCAAGATTAAAATACAGAAGATGTAGTACTCTTAAAATTTCTGCAATTAAAACTACTTGTAAATGTTTATTTGTTGTAAGATAAGAGTTTCTTGTGCCTGGTAATTTAGTGTATTGTACTGTGTTGGTAATTTGGTGTACAGTGTACTTTTGTAATAGCTTCTGAATTTTAGAGCTAATCTTTGGAGCTCTGTTATAAAGCAGAGAGTCTTTGCAGGTCATAAGAGGACTGAAGACTTAATTTTAAGGTATCATGGGCTGGTATTGGTGCTTTTATTTTTAGGATATTGTTTGACTGTTGGAGGTTAAAGTCATATTGTACTGTAATTTTGATCTTCTATGTTGGAGGTGTATTGTTAGAACTTGTACTGATTAATGATTGTCTTATTTTAGAGATGAAGAGAGCTACAGTAAGGAGCTACGTGACCAAGCTGCAGGCTTGTTCACCAGCCTGCAGTTTGCTCGCCACATAAAGAAGTCCAAAAGCTCAGAAGAAACAACAGCAGCAGCAGGAACTAGTTCTGGTGCCACATCATCTGGTCACGTGCCCAACCAATCCGATACAGTTGATAGTTCTTCAGATAAAACAGAGAAAGTAGATTCTGCACCAAAGTCAAAGGATTACTCAGAAGGGCCTCCAATAAAAACAGAAAGTGTAAGTGGTTCACCTAAGAAAGTAGATAGAGGCAGTGGATCACCAGAAAGACTGGAAGACATGAGTGCCTCGTCAGTGAAATGTGACGGGTCAGAAAATAGTCGGAGAGGCAGCAGCCTTGACAGTAGATCTGTATCGTTAGAAGAGGAGGTAAAAGATATACACATGATGCCATGTGTTCATTTTGTTCACTGTGTGGGTCTTAGACTTCCATAGTTTAAAAGGAGTCTGTCAGTCAGTTCTTGTACTGTATTGTACTTACCTTGTAGATTTTTTCTTAGAAATTTGGTTATGTTTGTAAAGTAATGTTTGGTACATTTTTTATGTGTTTGTAATACCTTACTTCATTCATTGTCTTTAACTTGTAAAAGAAACTTTTTTGTAATATTCAATTACTTGATAATATCATTTATAGAGGGACCTTGAAGTCACAACACTAGACAGCCAGTGCACTGTAGGAATAAAAAAAATTCTTCTCAATTCTATTTGACAAAAAACAAATGAAATTTTTCTTTTTATCAAACCATGTTTACTGTAGGGGAGATTTAGTACAAGTATTGTGACGGCCCCAGAGATTGAGGTTATTCTGTTATGGATTCTTTTTTTTTTTTTGTTTTTTTTTAATTTAAGGAGTAGTAAACTATATGAGTTATTTTTAACAAACCAGTTCTGTTGAGTGCATGTGGAGAGGATTTAATACATTCATTATTACCAGTGTTTCTCTCTCTGTTGTGTGAGGGTCTTTACTAATCCCACATTGCTGACTTATCTCATTTTTTATTTACCATCATTTTGTTTAGATATACGAGTTTAAGCTTGAAATAATCAATAAGTATTATAGTGTTGCTAATTTTTTTGACAGGTAACCAAAGGAGATAAGAAACCCAGATTCTCAGAGGAGAAGAAAGACAGTTTCCTGGGACCTCACAACACCAAGGCTAAGGTTGTTACTCTCTTCATCAAGGGAATGGTTCACCCAGTAAGTCGTTCATACTGAAATATTGCATCAGTCTGTTTATGTATTGCTCTCACTATGTTCCCTGTGTAGGTCAGATAGCCCCTGGCCTGAACTGACAATCGATCTTAATTATCAGGACTGGAGCTTCTCTTCCCCCAGCCAAGAAATTGGAGTTCACAATTCTAATAATTGATTTTTTGCACCATTTTGAAATTTCCTGTTGGATACCTATACCAAGGTTTTCCCTCATGGCTTCCTAAGATATCTCACAAATCTTGAATATAAAATGTCACTTAGAGTGATGATATTTTTAGGACTTAAGACTAGAGTACAGTATACTACTTTTCATATATGTAGTGTAATTCAGAATAAAGAAAGAAGTGATAAATTTGTGAGTTGATTTTTTTTATGTAATTTGTTTTGATTCCTTGGTCGTTTATCTCTTGATTCTACATTTCTTCTCTACATTTTCAGGAACAACGAAAACTAGTTGAAGAGGAATTAGTAAGAGTCCGTGGACTTATCAGCATCGTGTTTGATCTTGGACATTCTCGCGTTACGTGTCGAGTAAAGCGGGACTTGTCAGTCGAAAAATTAGCAGCTGCAGTGGCTCGCACGGAAACTCTCTCAGCACAACAAGTCACCACAAATTCTGATGGAGAAGAGGTGGGTTGTGGGTTCACTTGAATGGATCATAATATGGAGATATTCTTTCACCCAGTCTTTTTCCATGTCCATTTGGATCATTCTCATATATAAAATTGGAGCATCGACTTTGTCCTAGACCAGTACAGTACAGTATTGTATAAGTGTGAGTGATGGTGTATGTGATGTAAGGGTAATAACTTTTGTTTCATATAAATTAAAAACAGTTTCTGACTTTCCCAGGAGATCATACTATTAGGGGGAACCCCAAAAGAAATCATTTCCCCAGTTGAGGACCTCCCAGACTACCTGCCTGAGGAGGACGCCCCAGTCGATGATGCCACGTCAGCCATGGCCCCCTCTGGGACCTTCATGGAGACTGCAACTTCATGGTTCTCTACGGCCAGCAACCTCCTTCAAAAATCTTTTTATTGGTGACCGCGTGCAGAGCTTAACTTATTCTTGTCTTTGTTTATGATACATGAGTAGAACATCAGTTCAAAGTAGGAAAGATTCAGTAATCTTTCATTCAAATTAACAAGGTATAAAACAAGGTGCATAGAATCTGATGGCATTTAGAACTTGGTGCTTAGGAACAAAGTATTTTGACTTGTAGAGAGGATAAGAATATTGTTGCTGGACAGTTTTTTATACCTGTACAGTACTAGTAGCTTTTGCTGGTATCTAATGAGTTTAGGTTAAACATATGGTAAGCTTAACAGAATGCATTTGATATTAGTTAATTCTGAATTTTAGAAATTTATGAAAATCAACTAAAGTTAGTGAAAATGAGACAAAGTGTTGACCTTTTTTATTCTTTATGGACATTACTGTATAACTAAAAATACTGTTATGAATTATCGGATAAGGAAATTCCTTCCTTACATAATTCAGACTTTCTCCAGCAGTTTACCTCTGGATGCACACAAATACCAATATATCACTCAGCAGATTATATTTTCCACGTTGGGAGCTTTGGTTGTAATATTTAAAACACTGACTCCTGTTAATTCACCTTTTAATATTTCAGAGTTATGCATCATTGTAAACTGTTTAAATAGTTGTTTTTGTTAGTTTCGATGTTGGAAATGTTACATAGTCAAAGATTAGTTCATAGCCTTTTAAGAATATAATTTCTTGCCAACATACTCAGGGTAAGGAAAGACTACTATGAAAATACAGAGGAAGGAGAGACTCACTGACCCCTACTGATAAAGGTAAGAGAAGATCACCTCTATAAATGATCCATTGTATAAAGACAGTACAGTACAGTACTTACATACTACAGTATATAAAGTCATCAGTAATGTAAATCACTGATGAAAGCAAACTTCTGCAGTCTCCTAGATTCAGAGTTAGAATATTCATGGCTTTTACGCTTAATGCAAAAGTGTGCAAAAGTCCATTGTTGGTGATAATAGAAGTCCATACAGCTCTGTCTGTAGTTCATGGAACACATAGAAAGTTCAGAAAATAAACAGTTATCTTACCTTTTCATTATACTCAGCTCTTTGCTTAAACGTACCAGTGACTAGTGTTTCATATATATATATATATATATATATATATATATATATAATTATGCACTAGCTTTATACATTAATATAAATCCTATGTACATTAAATAAAGGAATATTCATATTACATGTTAGTCCAGAAATTATGAAATGATGTCCATATGGTTAATGAGGTCAAAGATATTTACCTTGTTCCCTGTCAGTAATGAAATTGCCCTTCATCACAAAAACTGAGAAGCTACCAAGAACAGAGACTGGGAGGCTCGCATGTGTGAGTGAAAGACATATGCCAGGACCTTGTGGTGATTCAAATATTACCACGAAAATACAAAATGTCGTATGACAAATTGAAGCCTAGGGGTTAAAGAACCATGATTAAAAAAAAAATCACTTCTCCATGACCTGTGTTCCTAAATTCAAAGACTAAAGTATAGTGTTATAGTGAGGAAAAGATGGAGAATTTAATATACATGCAATGTTTTAAAGATGAAGCTTTGTTTGTATTCATATAGTGCAGTATTTTAAGATGGAGGATTGTGTATACATGTAGGGCTTAAGATGGAGCATTGCTCATACACTTTACAGTACATATTGGGTATGAATGTTGCACTTTAAGACGATGGAGCATTGTATGTACATGTAGTGAAACAATATGTAAGAAAAATGCTTGGCTGTGTGTAGATGTGCGGCAACTGTGACCATAAGCATCGGGTTGTTTCGGGGTGTGTCCTGCATGGCTGTAGTGAGGTAGAAAATGCTTCAGAATTTATACTTCTTGTTATGATATTAATCAAGTGTTAATTCTGGGCCTGAACTTATGTGTAAATTCTGTATCTTACTGTTAATGCTGACTGAAAATACCTCTTGATAAGTTAACTAATCTGATCCAACTAATGTACCAGTACTTTGTATTGAAGATTTTATTTTTAAAGGGCATTGTATTATTAATTTTGTATAAAAGAATGTGTTGAAGCTTGTGGAAAATTAAATTGGGTGGAAATGATAAATGGAAATTCTGCATGTACAGTAGCTAAAACAATTATCTGTGCAGGTGGGGGGTCGATATGCTCCAAAATTTTATGTGTGACTAGTGACAGCCCTCATATACCAAAATTTATCGTCCATGGTCTCATTGTTAACTACAAAGTATGCACAGATAGTTGTTTTAGCTACTGTACATAGATGGTAGGATCATAAGAGCACTCTGACAACAATAGAAAAACACAGTACAGTAAGTTGTTAATTCTTACAAATCATTGTGTGTTGTTAACTGGAGTGTTGCATTCATAAGACAAAAATCTGCCTGGAGTAAACATTTTGCTTGGATACTTTTCAAAATTTATGAGATAACAGAAAGTTAAACAATAAATCTTATACTGTAGGTGGAATTATTTTAAAATTCTGATATTTGTTGAATTTGAAAGTATAATATGTGAATTGTCTTTCATGTAGAATATAAGTGAGTGCTTTACTGCGAACTCTTAAATATTCACTCACTCACTCACTTCCAGACTACAGTAACTCACACATTTACTCATTCTTAAACACAGGAAAAGTTCACTCCACAATGTACAGTATGTGAAGGCTCTCTAGGAGGAAGCAAGTACCGTACTGTACACCATAATTTCGTGTCCATTTCTAGTAATGTTGTTCTATCAATATATATGAAACATTTTTGTATGGAAGGAAACTGTGATACATCATTTCATATTTCAATAAATCTCTCTCTCAACTTGACGAGGAAGAGTTAACACCGTTGCTGTGGTGACCTTGATTCTAATAGAAGGTTTATTATTGCTTAGGTGTTCCTGTTCCTGATTAAGTTTAGATTCTGAAAGGAAAAGTCCATCTCTGAAATTACTTTTGTGAACTTATAAAGATAGTTTGATATATACTGTATGTATTTAGTAGAGCTTTTACTACCTCTGTTATTCTACCTTCCTTAACCTAAGGAAGATCTTTATAGAGAATGGCTCTGAAGTGTACTGTACTGTATCACCTATCTAGTTACAGTGAGCCCCCAAGTGATGACAATTCTCATGTTGACATTTCAAACTATCCTAAAACATTAAAACATGGACCATACTGTACTGTACGTTCACACCTGACTGTCAGCTGGTGCCCTCGTATGTTTGTGACCTGTGTTGGTATTGGGCAGTTATTAGCGCAGGTAACAGTTATGATTGTATTATTGGTTCATTGCCATTAATTACTATACTGTAGTTATATTCACTTGATGAATTGTTGGTTACTTCATTGGGAGTATTTTTTATGTTCCTGTTTTTATTATGATTTGGATTTAAGAGGAACTGTTATGGTAGACCAGTGAATGAGTACACTGCCGGTAGAACTATTCCAGATAGAATTGGAGTTTGGCAGTGTGACTCGGATGTTCTTTATATAGTGTTTTCTAAGACTTTGCCTCTTATTACAATGCCCACTGTGGAGAATTTGCAAGTATGTATATGTTTCTTGTATTATTTTGGCTCTCATAAATTATTTTTGTATTTTGTGTATTTTTTGGTATCTTATTACATCAATAACTGTTTTACAACAGTACTTAAATGAAATACAACCAAAGTATACCTGTGACCTTTACTGCTTGATGATAGTTCCTTTTGAATTGTTTTCCTTTTAAACACAGTTCATTGTAATATTAACCTTGATAACCCTAGGAGGGATATTCATACTAGATGTGAACAAACTAGTTCTAGATTACAAAGAAACAGACAGACAGCCATTATTGTTTTATCTTCTGCAGGTGAGTATAAAAATAATCAAGCATTATATAAGAGTTGTGGACTGTCATTGTAATGTAAAATTTGGTGTGGTATACCGTACTTATGTATATGAACATGCACCCCTACTTTTACAATAAGGTATGGTATGTAAACACAGTTGTACAGTTCACTGGTACACCCTTGTCCATTTAGTCTCTTCTCAGCGTCCTTCACCGTCTTTATAACTCAGTAAAGTATATTTTTGTGAAACGGTTATTCGAGTTATTGGAAAATCTTAAGTTTGTGTCTGATAAAAGCACTTATCAATAGTACAGTACTATACATTGTGTGTACCTTCTCAGGATGTTTTAGATTAACTAGATTAAATTGAAGTGCAGTATTCATGAAGTCTTTTGAATGAGATTAAGTTATGCTGAAGTAGTATTTGGATCAAAAGAATTGCAACTGTTCCTTTGGTATTAATTACTGTACTGGTATTACTTTATCAAGTATTTACTTAAAAGTACTGTAATGTAGGGAAGTTACCTGTGGAAGTCTGGTTTAGTATATGTTTTTGACCAGGTATTGTATATTGCCTAGGTAACAGAATATGTCAGTGAGACTTATCAGCAGTATTTTGTGCAGGTTACTTTATAAAGGTGGTATTTCTGAGTATTTATTTAAGAATAAAATTAATATGAAAGTACTGTACTTTCAGGTGTGTAAGAATTGGGAAATGTAAAGAAAGGATGAATAGAAAATGCATGGTATCAGTGGATATTATTACTGACCATCAAACATAAGAGAAAACTTCATCTTGATTAGTTTCTTATGAAGTCATTTGGTTTATTGAAAACTGAGGTACTAAAGACCACTGTTGAAAACATTTTTATTGTGTAGTAGTCATGTTGAACAGTTAAGTAATATATTATGGTATATGTAAAGACCAAATTACTTTACTGTAATTTAGTGCCGTTTAGAGATCAAAAGGCTTCAACTATAGTCCCAGAATGTGAACAAGATGCCACAAATACATATCCATGAGATGGTGTTAATACTTGTGCCACCTCCCAAGTTAAAGAAGAACTGTGCATCAAGTAACAGGAGAGATATTTAAGATTTCAGTGAGGTGTCCGTATAACACTGAAGAACTTGAATTGTATACAAGCTAAAGAATCTCCAGTGTAAATGGTTATGTATAGAAAACAGGCCAGTTATAGATGCTTCATTTGCTGTAATTAGCTAGATATCATACATTGAGATTATTCCAAATGCATTGTTGAAAAGCTTGTAAGTGCTGTGACAAACAAAATCATTTTCGTGTTGAATATAAAACGCCATTGTCATTGTGTCACTTAATATTTTGTCAAAAGTTAGATCTCTATTTGCTGTAGATGTTGTTAAATGTGCTCATAAATTTCCTTTCCTATTTTAACAGTTTAATGTGCTTGTTTTTATGTAGATCCAGCACTCGCCTTCAGTCCAAAGAGTTGTTGGTACCCGTCGTCCACTCGGCCGTGAATGGGTATACCTAACTTATATGCTGGGGGAAAGTAAAGTGAATCAGATGTAGTGCTGGCTACAGTGTCTCCTGTGTATAGAATGCTTAATAATCAGAGTGTTGTGTCCCCACTGCCCATATTGTGTCAGGCTGATGGGTACCCTCTTTAAGCTTTTATGTTATTGTGCACCCACATGATATAAGTAATGTAGGTATTTTTCAGCACAAAGTTTAATTGTTTTACAAGTGTGACATATATTATGTAATCATATGCCAGGAGTTGCCATTAGTGAGAAAACCTGTCTTATGGACCCTATACCATTCTATCTGCCTTTGAACGTGTGAATCATTCCATAAATGTGAACGAGACATTTTGATCACCTCATGTTTCACTACAAACTTTGATATGTATATAATTATATTTTACTGTAAATAAATGCCACAGAATGTTCGTTATTTATGTCTTATACAAATCTTCATCACTGTGTACTTAAAATTAGTGAGTGTTAAATTAATAGAGGTTCTCCAACTCCTAGAAAAATTCAAAACGAATCACAATTCTTTTAAGAAATTAGACTGCTGGAGGAAGGTACCATCTCATGCCAAATGATGACTGTTTCAAAGTTATAACCTTCACCTTTTAACCCTTAACCACTTGTATATGGGATCCCCTCTGTGCAGGTCTCTTATTTGTTACTTTGTTGTGAAGTTGATAGTCCAGTAGCATCCATCAAGTACAGATATAGTAAATTATGCACAACTGCAAAAGTAATTTTCCCCCACCATCAGCCACTGGAAGTAATCTGCAACTGTATGTATATATACAGTAGATAATAATAAATAGAACCGTAAAACAAGCATCATATATGCCTGATGGATTTCAAGGTTAAGTAGATGGATATATGTTAAGGGAAGCACAGGTACTGAAAATGTCAAGAGAAGAGGAGAAATTTTTGAATGGTGTTCACAGAGGTTTTATACAAAAAGTGAAGCATATTTTACTTTTTTTTTTTACTTTACTTTCAGGAAGGACAACAGCTCGGTGAAAGCAGGACTGTCTATATCCATTATGTGTAGTGACGAATGAGATAGGAAGAGAAGTGAAACCAAGAGTACCTGTAATGGAGAAGGGTGTAAGTTTGGTGAGCAATGATAAAGAATATAAATAATAGAGTCACCCATTGATTTCTATTGATATTTCAAATGTGACTGAACAGATTTGGAAGAGTGAATGCAGTACAGTACTAGGAAAAAGGGTGAATGAGAACTAAAGAAGTGAAAAATAGTAGTGAATAAGATGCAGAGAATAAGATAACAGGGATATGGAAATGTGAAAGAGGTGTTGGGCAGTGGAAAGGATTTGCTTGGGTGAAATAGACGTTTTGGGGTAATGAGAATGGAAAGATTATTAAAGAGTGTTTTTATTCAGAACAAAATAGTAGAAGGGACCGACAAAGACTCAAAAGGAGATGAAACGTTGGGGAAGGGTAAAGTGTGGGGTACAGGATGTTTGTTGTTTCTCCTCCATCCTGTGAGTGTCACTCCGGGGTCACCATTTGTTTGGTGTAGCTCGCTGCGGCTGTAGCTAGAAGAAGAGAGTTGTCAGATGCGCCTGCTGGGGTGTGTGGGCCTGGGTCAGGAGCAGGGGCTGTGTCAGCAGAAGCGGATGAGGGGGGTACCTAAGGGAGAAAAGAGGGGTGCGTGGGTCCGCACTCAGACGCATGGGCCGCGTCGGGAGCAGGGGCTGCATTACGAGTGGCAGGGGGTACTGCTGGGCCGGGGGCGGCGTCTGAGGCAGGACGGGTGTGTTGGGGTCGGTAGGACTTGGTGCTTGGGGCAGGAAGAGGAGCTGGTGTCTGCTTAGAGTAGCAGAGCTGCTCTAGGGTGTCTAGCCTGCGGTGTAGAGACAGTAGCTGTAGAACCGATTAGAGCTGCTTCTGGGTGGATAAGCCAGTCTTCCATGTTGCTTGAAGACTGGGAGAGTGATCAGTTTCTCCTCCATCCTGTGTGAGTGCGAATCTCCGGGGGTCACCATTTGTGGGGTCGGCTAATCAGCGACAAACAGCGTTTGTAGGGGAGAAATCCACTACAAAAGGACATACTAGAAATGAGAGACATATAAGAAGCAGCAATATGTGGTCCTTGACTGAGTAGCAATGATTTTTGGGGCGATTCATGGTTAAGAGAAACGTCTGAAGCGATTGGATATGGGAACACTGCATAAATATTTAGGGACTAATTATAGATGGGAAATAAGAACAATTTGGCTCTTTTACAGCAGAAAAAATGAAAGGAATATATAAGTTTGCTCTTTTTTTTTGCAATCCTTCATTATAAGTCCTAGGTGAGAACACATAATATTATCCAATTATGAATCATCATTTTGTTTGCATTACTTATCATTATTACTATTGATATTATGATTGTAACTACAGGTAGTGTGAATATAATTACAAACTAATTTTTTTTCTCGCCACTTAATCGTTTTTTTATAATGATATTACTGTAATTATCGTGCCTACAATTACTAACGTATTTATATTTATTTAAGCAAAACCTTACAAAATTAATTGAGAACCTTTATAAGAACACTGCCATTAAAGCACACTTGGGCCTGGTAGTGGCCGGTGTCTCGAACTACAGGGTGTTAGCGCTTCGAGGCGGAAGGTCAACAATCAAGATGCTGGCTTGATGTGTTACCTTGGACCGTATAAATCACAGTTTGAGAGTGCTGTTTATCAAGGTAACGAAGAAAATTTTTATTTTAGATTTGGTTGGTTAGTTTTCCTAATTTATGAATGATGACTCAGAGGTTTGTAGGAATAGGAAGTAAACATGGAGTATGGAGGCAGACGTCCGCATACAGTACTTGGGTTTACACGTCCCTTGTTTCCAGTGTTACCCTTAAGAGTCACAGTGAAACTCCATGGATATTATGTTCTTTGAATCTACGAGAATTGCTATTTAATTTTATGACTGTCGAGATACATGGGTCTTCCCCAACCTGCGTGAGGTAAGGGGGGAGCTTTGGGGATTTTATTTATTTTATTTACGCTTACTTGTGCTGTGCTTCAGGTGTTTGTTCGTGAGTATACCCAGAACACCTGTCATGCACACGGGTATATGATTACTCCACAATGTATTCATGGGTAGAATATTTAATTTTAAAACCTGACTGCCTACTTCATACTGCAAGTTGATTTAAAACCTCATTGGCTTTTCTTTTCATCTATCCACAGCCAATTATAAATGGCCGATGTGTGTGTGTGTTATATTCGGCGGTAATATAACATGATTCATTAGTGTGTGTGTGTGTGTGTGACGTATCCTGTACAGGAACGTTTCTGTGTTTCCTAGAAAGTCGTTTAAACTTTTAGACAAAGACGATCGTGTTCTTCCTTGCATTACGGAGTTGTGAAAACCCCACCACTTCACCATGCAGTTATTTAACGATAGAAAATGCCACTGACCCTTGATCTTAGTCATGCTGCGTGGGTAATGGTGTGTTTTTATGGTGGTCGGAAATAAAGTCCACAGGACTTGTACTATCGTGGAGAAAAGTTCGCTCCCTCCCAAACTGAAGCAGTGTCGACCTCAAGTGCGATAAAACAGCACACCTGCACACAGTCAGGTAAGTCAGTTCGGAGAGTCATTCCCGTGACTCAGTTTCACTACAGGGAGAGAACTTTTGTCCACGATAGTACACATTAACAACACAATATATATATATATATATATATATATATATATATATATATATATATATATATATATATATATATATATATATATATATATATATATATATATATATATATATATGATGACATTGCACGTAGGTTAGGTTAGGTTAGGTTAGGTTTTCCGTGCCTTTTTATCTGACTTTTTCTTGACTTTTTTCCTCCAACCGTTTTTATAGATAAAAGTGTTAAGTAATAAATATACGGTATGTGTAACTGCATGTAGTTTGACGATATACTGCTCATTGTTAAACGTCTAAATACGTCGTTTACTTTACAATTTCATTAACATCATAGTAACGAGCAAATAATCAGACATGCTGAAAACAGAGATACACACATATGCATAAGTATACAACACCCATACAGGGTTTAGGAAGTATTAAAACTTAAGGGTTCACTAGTATATGAATGATACAAGTCGAACTGTTACTTTTGTGATCTTTTGTTGTAATACAGTAATTCTTTTTATTCTCGAGTCTTTGATGTTGTAGTGTATCGAGTGTTGGTGAATGTTTTAGAAAAAAATTATTATTATTATTATTATTATTATTATTATTATTATTATTATTATTATTATTATTATTATTATTATTATTATTAATAGTAGTATTAGTTGTAGTAGTAGTATTTAAGTCTCTGAGCAAGGGTATGTATAAGGATAAGCCTTGACTTCAATTTTGAAATGATATATTTACCATTGGTCGCTAAATTGGGCTCGTGTTGCGTAGTTCCTGTCACGTGACCTCAGTTAGTTAACGGAAGGATATCAACTGTCAGCTTCAGCTTCCTGTTGCTACCGGAAAAATGACATCCATTTCTAGCTAAATTTTAAAGTGCATTATGAAAGTTGCAGTCTTGACAAAGGGAGTTTCCCCAAAAAATTATATATATATAAATAAAGGCCTTCCCGAGTTGTTAATGTAAGGTTGATTATTTTAGTTTTTTGTTTTTACATGACTTTCGGTACTCAATGAGGCAGCGGGACCGGTGCTGTACAGTCACCCAAAAAAGTCCTGTCGGGAACCATGAACCCCGAGATTCAGAACTCTTGAATCCGAAGCATTTATGGACAGAATAATGTATCAGTGTCTACTGCTTCGGGTTCACGAGTCTGAATCGTGGTTCGCGACAGGACTTTTTTGGGTGACTGTACATGACTGTTTTCACTTCCCCCAACTGGATAGACTGTGATCGAACCGGCGACTTAAAGACAGGAGACGACCGCTGTATCCAATCGACCACCTCACACCATTTGAAGCATTTTGAGGTCTTGCATTTCCCGCTAGTGTTCAATATTCATATAAACTCTAGTGGTAAGTGGTGGTTCAAGGAGCGCGTGAAGTTTCTGGAAGTAATTTGGACGTAAATCTTTTATGTTTTCGGGTTAAAGCTATCGTTCCTTGATCCAGTGTGTGTGTGTGTGTGTGTGTGAACCATAATCAGTAAAATATTAAAAACATTGAAATATTTTAAGATTTGTAGCATAATCCTGCAATCGGGTTCATTTTCAAAGAGTTAAATTCTATCCTCGACGCAACCATCCCTACTTTACTGTTTTTCACCTTTTCTTTCCTTTATTTTCCTCAATTTGATGCAACACTTGAAACTTGATTGTTGGTATAAATCTTACATCTTTCTGTCTGAGGAATGATTTCTGGGTGTTGAACATGACCTCTGAACAGGAAGAGTTGCTTCGTGGACAAGAACAATGACTAGACTTCACTAGAGCCATGAAAATGATTCGCTAGCGTGGAGAGACACACTGAAGCTCACGGACTGAATCCCCCAAATCGTTTCCGAACTCAACTTCTATCATTACGATTTTAGTCAGCTGTAGAAATTTACAACGTGACAGAAAACTAAAGAATATTTCATTATGTCTATTAGGAATATTGCATCACGTCTATTACTTAAGAATATTGCATCATGTCTAAGGATATATATGGATAAATTGATGTTATATATATATATATATATATATATATATATACAGTATATATATATTTATATTATAATAATAATAATAATTTACGCTCTTCAACAACTAACTGTGAAGTCGTGTAGCGCGTATATTAAATTATTAAATACGCCAGTTATCAACAGTTAAATAATTAAGAGAAATACAGCTCTGTAGTTTTGCTGAAGTACAATTTTATTCACTGTACATCGATGTCTATCTTGTACAATAACGTGTCGACACAAAACACGGGATTACTTTATGGAGCGACCACAAACCAGCTTACTTTGCCTTGAGTTGACATGGGTCATTGGGTCAGGGATAATCAGTGTTTATATGCAACCCCGCCCCCTTCCCTCTCCCCCCCTTCCCCCTTCCCTTCCCCTCCCTCCTCCCCCCTTCCCCCTCCCTCCGTCACGAAATACTTGGAAACTCTAGGCTAAACACTCAAGTCTCCTTCAGTTTTATACCTTCCTTGTTGACAAATGATCCATAATTCCTTAGAAAACAAAAAGAAGAAGCAGACAGCCTTAACACTAGGACAACTTTTTCGCTCAATAAGAGATAGAAGAAAAATGTCAATAGATCGATGTATAATGAGGGGGTTAGGTTAGGTTAGGTTAGGTCTGGTTAGGTTAGAATAGGTTAGGTTAGGTTTGGTTAGGTCTGGTTAGATTAGATTAGATTAGGTTAGGTTTGATTAGGTCTGGTTAGGTTAGAATAGGTTAGGTTACATATCGCATCAATTACTAACACACATAGATAAATATCCCTCTTGGTGGTGACTTTGGCCGCTGTTATATTATCGTGAGCCGGGAAGGTGTAGAGTCAGTATACTGTAGGCGAGAGACTCCCTTCACCCACCTACCCCGTTTAAGCTAGTTTTTACCACCCTTCTTGCCTGTTCTTGACCTTGAGGCCAAATACGTCTCTCACTGCTCTTATTTTCTCTCTGACTTATGAACCAGAGTCGCATACATAATACTTGGTTAGTTATTAAGAAAATCAATCCACCGGGAGATTATTATTTATGGATTTTACATGATAATATTATATACTATTTGCATACGTAAAGTAGGTTTGATTACACACACACACACACGCGCACACACACACACACACACACACACTCTTTCTCATCTCAACTTCCATATTACAACAATGTCCAAAATCAACTTACAGCTTCCATTAACAGAACGAAGATGATTGATTCATTTTGGTCAACAAGATCATTTAAACTATTAATCTCTATCACTTCGTCCCGTTACCTCAGTATATAGTTTAGCCCTAGACAAAACTATCAAGATAACAGTAGATGACTGGCTTTCTTCCCCTATACCTGGTTACCTGTGGTTTGTGTAGCCACTAGGTAAACAATAATAAAATTTTATGGCCGAGCTCCTATGTATAGTGCTGTATATATATAGAACAATGAGGACTTTAAATAAAAACGCATAAATGTGGGGTTTTTTAAGTTCAATAGCTGAAGGTCTTATTGCAGGATAGGTTTAAAATAGACATCGCACCTTGACGTTTTCTGTGAACATAACCTTAACCCTCTCGTAATCCCGTGACGTAGTGATAACCTGTAAGATGACGTCATTGTTTGGGAATTTCCCTGTGCATTGGAAAGCTGAGTAAAGATGAGGTGGGGGCCCTCAAACCAGCTCGCTTAAAAGCCTTTAAAGCTGATTTTGTCTCACCCTGGCATCAAATTACATTAGGTTGTATTTGATTAATAATTGAAAAATATTCTTATACAAATTAATAATGAAGATTTTTTTATAAGAGAAGCGTTAATGGTCATATATAGAATTATTTTAATTACATGACGAAGGTAGGGCCGGTCAGACAAGGGTAGACACACACCTACCGATTAAACAAATACCAGTTGCGAAGGTCAGGACTTTCTGTTGACTCATAAAATGTCAACACCAAAATTCACGTCTCCTGTATGGTGATGTGGCAAACAAGATGAATATTTAAGTGTCCATTTCTTCACGATCTGAGGAGGAAATTAGTCGTCTTTGTTAAGTGTATTCTTTACCCGAGTCTCTGTTTTGCTCTGTTCGTTTCTCACTTGTTTATACTTTATAATGATGAACACAACACAAAACTCAGGGATACAAACCATAACAACAGAGGGAAGATGAGCCTTAATGTCTCTCAGTATAAGGTCCATAATTTAACTTTCTCGTGGTGTTGGAGGAATCTGTCTGGCCCAGGATGTGAATGGTATCTCTTGCCTATTTTTACATCATTCATTTATTTTTATTTTCTTCACATCCACTTATTTAATTAACCTTTCTTTTGACCTTATTCATTAGTTCTTTACCACACTGAAGAATCAACTTTCAGAACAAAATGACCGGCCGTTTTTTATAATTACTTGCAAGAAATGATCTTTGGAAACTGTGACCTCACTCTATATTTATACTATAATGTATTTGTGATATTTTCAGTAACTTTAACACTTTTGTATATTTATAAAGTTTGTTGGGAAACCTCCTAGTTACACTTTAACACGTCACTGGACCTGAAAGCAAAGGAAATATCTGATGCAGTGTGGGGTGAAGAGTCCTGGAAGAGCTGTGATTGGCTAAGAGTCCTCGTACACACAGCCATAACAAGAATCTCCCCAGCGTTCATGATGTCAGTGTGTGTGTTGCTGGTGTGAGGTGAGGTACACTACAGGAGGAAGTGCAGTAAGAGTGTCGCCGCCTCTGTGCCGCCATTACTTCTCAAGACGTCGACCTTGTCTTGTTTACCAAATTTAGAAGAAGAAATCAGTTAGAAAATTAAAGAAAACCAGACCTCACATATACGAAGGGAAGTAGAAAGTACTTACTGAAATCAAGGAGCAAACTACAGTACTTCTGCAACACACGATCAAGAGGCTCGTATATAGACCTCAGACTAGGAGACACTTCACTCAAGATATTCAAGTGCCTGCTGTTGAGAAGGTAACGTTAGCTGGCGTAATTTTGATGAGGGGAAGTGTAGCAGCACTATACATACTCTATGGATATCTTCATGTTAAGTTACTTTTATTTTAGTTTCTGCTTAAGTATCAGATGAAGCAATGAAGGTCACTTGAAGTTGCTTGGGTGAATTGAGTTGCTTGCTGCTTTCATCCTCGTAAGTAAGTGTGTAGGATATTTCTACTGACTTAATTGTAGTTTATTTCTTATCTTCACTACAGTGTTTTCAAGTATGTTCGCGGGTCAGTCGTCAATAATTATACTGTATATAATGCAAATAGTGATAGAACAAGAGGAAAAAAAAAGGTCTTTGAATTTGCTTAATTAAGAACAAGTAAGGCGTGACCCTTGGCTCCTCCTCGGCTTATGGAAACAATCGGTCAATCTGGGTCACTGTTAATGTTATCAAGCTTCCTCCAGTGTAGTGAATGTTTGTTGATGTACACTGAGGCCACGACCTGCTTGCCGTGTCCTTGTTCCCTATCCCGAATTTATATTTTATTAATTATTCGTTTTGGTGGGTTTTCGTGTTCATTGATGATATAAACCTTTATTATACCGTATGATTTCCGCCATAATCCCACTTATTTATTCTAGACATTTAACATATTTATATAATGAAGATTCTCCTATACCCCCTGTATGTTGTTACCTATATCAAGTAAGTTGTGGCATTGCTTTTTGTTACAGGAAATATTTTTGTTACTGAATTGTCTCACACTAAGAGCATTATGGGAGTTATCAGATTCCGAAGATGGTGATTTTGAGGTAGAATTATATATTAGAGGAATGGCAGACAGTTCAACGCCGCAAGTCATGTGTGAAGGACGTGTCTCGCTTCATTCCCGGGACTGACAATACGAACTGGCAGGCAGGCCATCCCACCCCTCGGAAATGAAAAGGAATGTAATAACAAGAGGCTGAATAGAATCTGTCATGCTAGTGGTCTTTGTGAACCGAGTTTTTCATGTTTATCTTGATCTTATTTATTCATATTTTGCACTGTACGTATTTTGCACATGTGTATAAATTGCTTGCGTATGTGTTCTGTATTATACACGAGCCAGTATGTACGAGTATGTGTATTTTGTATAATTCTCAGATATTTGAAAGATAATACATTGAGAAAGTTTGTAGGAGACGTAATAATATTGAGAGAGGTTGTTCTCGTTCAGTCGCTATCATTGTACACAAGGAGGTTTACAGAACACAAGGACGTGCAGCTCTAGTCTCCACAATACGTATATTACTTTGTCCTTGTGTTCCTCGACCCCCTCCCCCCATTGTGTGTGTGTGTGTGTGTTTTATGACCTCTTTGCGACACACAAACGGACAACCTCATTGTGTACCATCCTTGGCTTTATTCGGGGGCGGATCCAGGGGGAGGGGGTCCTGGGGGTCCGGACCTCCCATTTTCATCAGAAAATTCCAATAATTTTTCTTTAATGCAGTTATTGTACTCAGGCGTGTTTATATAGTATTAAGTAATTACTATTGGCCTCAGAATGTCTCCTAATATCAAGTGCACATGGCTTCAAAATGCCCCCCATTCTCCTAGCTGGGTGGGCTTGCTACCCCCACCAAGTCCCCTCACCTACAATTTCTTGGGCCCCAATTTGATATTCCTGGATCCGCCCCTGCCTATTACTTCTGCGTGACACTATTTACCTGTGTGTAATGCTTGATGTCTCCCGGTGTTAGGAATAAAACATTGACTCTGATGATCTGAAGAAATTTCTGGAAATGATGTTAAAATAGAGAAGGACATGACCTATCTTACTGGTGTTACGTTTGGCAGTTGTCGTACACGAGTAGAATAAATTATCGTGCATTAAGAGTCGCCATCATACATCAATATAGCTAACATGACTGACCCAAACAACATGAGTCACAATAAATGGCTTTGGGTGTGTTGCCGGGACTCCCTGTGTTCTGTAAACGTTGGTGAGGATGACAGGCGTATGGCTACATATGGTGTCCAATAGCTATTCCTGTCTGGTTATCTCAACATTTTATTTTCGTTTCCTGTATGTCATTCAACAGTGCCAGTGAACGTTTTATGATATTATACAAGTCTTGCACCATCAACCCCTCTATTTTCTTTGTTGAGAGAGGTGTGTGTGTGTGTGTGTGTGTGTGTTTTCCTCCCAGTCATTATGCTGTTATTAAAGTGATAAAAGCCTTGCCGTTTCAAGGTTTTAATTTCTTGTTATCGTAGATGTTTCAGCTATAGTACGAGGCTAACGATGCTACAGACTCTAGTACTTACATAACGTTAATAACCTCTCTATGCTAAAAAGGATCAATCAGTTGTGTTTTAGCCTCTATAACTGATGAAGTTACTTGAAACACTTATTCTACCTGCTGTTTTTTCCTCGATCGACCCAGGTGGAAGATCTGACCACAGCTTAGCTATTGGAGGGGCTGGGCTGGACCTTTCTTGTAGAATTTCCCGTCATTCCTTTTTAGATAATTTATAAAAGTTTGGTTAGGTTAACATTTAAATTCATATGGTTAATGTTAAGTTAGTTTTAATAAAGATTCAATATGTCGTACCGGAAGTCTAGAATTACCTGTACATGCAATACGTTCACACATGGATATATATATATATATATATACTGTATATATAAATGCAAGTGTATTTATAAGTCAGTTTGGTCTGTTGGTTTGTCCTTGACGAGAGCCATTAATCACAAACCATAACACAATTTACTCAGCTAGGAAACATGACTTGAGCATGGTGGTAAAAATGTCAAAGATTGTTTTATTTTTTGTTAGTATTGGGTTGTTAATAGTAGTAATTTATGACCTTCGAGATGCTGGTTTGTATGTTTTGTGCTGCTCTGTTGTGTAAGTTGGAGGGGTCCTATTGTGTCTAGTCAATAGTTGCATAATAAGTTTATTTATTTACTTGTTTGTTTATTTATTTACTTTTTATTGTTTTTATTTATTTACTTTTTATTTATTTATTTATCAACTTTTTATTTATTTATTTATTTACTTTTTATTTATTTATTTACTTTTTATTTATTTATTTACTTATTATTTATTTATTTACTTTTTTATTTATTTATTTACTTTTTATTTATTTATTTAATTTTGTTTTTATTTACTTTTTGAGGGGCTTCCATGGATTAGTCTACTGTTCAAGTGTATAGAGAACCTACCCAGTTGTCAGTGTTTATATACAGTAAATGGAACGTTCAGCTCAGCTATATAACTACCCGAGTTGTTTAGTTTTTCGAAGGGGAGAAGCTTGATAGAGGGATGTTATACTAAAGTCGTGTAGTACTGTATGTTAGTTTGTTATATTATTCACCCCCCCATCTCTTAATGTACCGTTACTGTATGTGCTTCTGTGCGAGAGTAATTATTGGAAATCTTTATGATGGGATATGGGTTATGTGATAGAACTTTATTGTTGGCCTCGTGTAAGTTCGCAGAAGGTAGAGAAAGCTTTGTTTGGTTCTTCACCGGTCAACAGTGATGCAAGACCTGTGTGTATGTGTGTGTCTCGCCTTGATAAGAGAAGCAGCAGAACCGTATCTTATATATTCAGAAATCATTCATAAATACTTGATCATCCCTCAAACATAATCCTAATAATTATATTGGAATTATATTATTAGGAATACATTTTTTGGCTCAAAATTATGGACACACCTCACCACACCACACACCACCGCCCCCCACACCCGCCCCCCCACACCCGTCCCCACGCCCACCTGCCAACCGGTAGTGTATTGAAGGTCACCTCGAAATTGTAAAATGTTAACTTTGTCTTCTTGTTCATTTCCGTCTTCAGTTTATTTTTGTATATGGAGTTAGATGGCGGCAGACGACGGCCCTATAGCTGGTGTTGTCAGTCTCGACCTTTTGTTATGACCTTGTGACTTGACATTGATTTACAGGACCGTTTACTGCTGATAGATATTCCTTCAGTCAGCCAGCCACACGCGCACACACGCATGCACACACACGCATGCACGCACACACACACAAACTGTAAATCCCTGCGACTGTGTGTACACCAGCATTCATATGTACATAAATATATAAGTACACGCATATTTACACACATACACAGTGTTATACGTCTATACACCCATTGATACATATATTCATGACTGCACACACATATTTTTACCCTGGGCTTCATTGTTTACTTGTGTCCCTGTTACCGAGACGTTTTGTTATACCTGTACAAGCATCAGGTAGGTGGTGTGTTAATTAGATGGCATTTTAAGTATAGATTGAGCCTGGAAGTAGGTGAGAGTCAGGGAAGAGGAGGTAGAGGGAGGTAGGCAGGTGAAGGATATGACCACCTGGTAAAACCCTTCCTCTCTCCCTCCCTCCTCCCCCCGGTACGAGACCACCTCTGATAAATTAATCTTTTGGGATTCCCGGGAACAGGATTTAATGTCTCTCAGTGGGGGAAAAAATCAAAGTTGATTCGGAGGTTTTAAAGATTTTCTTAATTGTTTTCAGTCGTGGGATTTAAGATTGCAGTATATATCGTGGCTAAGCGTTGGTATTATATCTTCCTGTTGTTTTATCTGTCAGGGTTCGTGTGCTGTAATGAAAGTTAGTGGGTCCCATAGGCTTGAGAGCTCGTTTGGGACAGTGTGAAAGTGGCAGCTCGTACACAAAGCCTTCGGTAAGCAAGGTCCGTGAGTCAGCGTGGCCGACAATTGCAGTCAAATAACAGACAACTTGAAAAAAATCAAGATAGATTAATATGTCAAGAGTTCAGGAAATTTGTTCAGGTGTTTCGACACGTCTTCAGACATTATTACCTGTTTAAGACAAGATAAGTGATTAATGTCATTGTTTTACCTGTTTTTGTTTTCTTAGGAAGCGCGTAGATTATCCTGTAAGAGGTATGGCAGCTGTGGCTAGCTAAGCATGGTAGTGGGAAACTGTGTAATTATAATGTGACCTCCTGAGTGACCTACCGTGGGTGACCTTCTCTTTGTGTTGGCTACGATACCATGGTTGACGCCCCCTTTTGGTCGCTTGTCCTCCATGTTGGCCACTGGTCTTTTGTTCCCCAAGTGTTGAAGTGACTTTGCATTCAGGTAGCCAGATTATATCACCCTGTAGTTATACCAGAGGAAACAGGGAGCTGATATATAGGGTGTTCCAGAAAAAAATGTCCCTGTCTCCTTCCCTCTCTCCCTGCCTCCCTCTCTGCCCCCTTTCCTGTTGTGTGTAAACGTTGTTGTATCTCTTGTTATACTAGTGTGTGTGAGTCTGGTACTGTAGTGTGGTGCTGTATGGATGTTTTCTCTGAGTTACAGGAGCGGCTGGTATGTGTGTCGTTATTTTAATCTCCATTATTAAGTAATTTGACGTCATATCCGGTGTTTAGTGAGTGATAAAAATGTATGATTACTGCTCAGGTGCGATACACAGGTAACCAACGACCAACTGTCAGGTAATTTTGTGTGTGGGAATACCAGTTAGAGAGACGGGATCTCCTGTTGTGGCCCAGGTCACAACAGAGAGAGAGAGAGAGAGAGAGAGAGAGAGAGAGAATACGTGGACTTGGTCTTGCTTCCTGCCACCACCTAACATTTAAGTGAATGAGTTGTATATAGAACCATTGTACAGGTGTGCCTACCGTGACAGCCCAGCCGAGCGGTTCCCTAGACACCCCCCCCCCCCATAACCTTACACCAGGGAGGCCTTTACTCCAAGAAACATAATGGTGATAATATCAGGAGTTAGGTTAAGGTCTTGTCACTTGGGTCTTCACGTCATCATTGTACAGCTAAACATTTTATCTAAACAATAATTAAATAAATTTACATGATAATACTGTATGTATTAATAGAACTCTCATTGTAAACATTTAATATGATTATGAGAAAGTATTTATTGTTGTTGTAATGTATTTAGCAATTGTCTTGAAACACTGTTCACTTATTCTAATGTCTACACTAAGTACATCACGTTGACTTGAACTGCTGAAAGTGTGACAGGTGGCCTTGCTTGAAGATGACGAGGTGTAGCCCATAATAATAATAATAAAGTACTCATTTATTTATTTTACATTGGTAAGCCTATTTAAAGACCCACATGCATATCATCTTTGCCAGCTGCAGTTTACATTAATTTGAAAACCAGTACTGTAGAGCGATATCATCAATATGCTGTACTGTACCTTAAACCACCTTAGAAATAAGACAATGCAGATAGATAAATTTATAGTCACAAATTTTATAGGAAATAATACAGGTATAAATCTTGTATCTAGCCGGAAGTAAGAAGAATGCATGAGCGTTCATTTTTGCCTCAATCACCGGATGTGGTTGCGGGTTGCACGCTTCGGGGTGAGTGAGTGCTACTCCTCCGTCGGGCGAGGTGGGAGATGGATGACTTTCACTCTGCTTCGGTGCGCATGATATAACCCATGTTTAAGTGTAGCTTGAGTAGTAAGTGTTGTTTGACATTTGCCTTGAGTAATGAAGAAGGTGTACTCAACTAGTCATATTCCTTACATGTGGACAAGTTTAATAATATGGTTCAATTTACTGTTATTTAGAGGTGTTCTTGATGTTATAAATGATGATGATTCTTTATTTCAGATCATGTTTGAAAAATGGGTGTTGCTAGCGGTGATAGTGACGGCGGTCGTGGTTGAGGGAGCCCCTGATGGCCCTTACCGAGCGGTGTTACACAGGGCCAGAAGGCAAGGTAATAACTCTGCTCCATGTAAGTACACCTGTGTGATGTTGTTGTTGGTGGCTGTGTGGCGGTGCTTCACGGGTAGGGGTACAGGTTTAACACTTTCTTCAGTGTTCGCCATGTCTTGAGAGGATGCTGGTTGGTGCCTGGTAAATCCTCATTCACAGCTGGGTGGAATGAGCGATGCCTGGGGGTCAAACCAGTGACCCTTGGGACAGGATTCGAGTGCTGTATCCACATGACCGCCTCACCATTTATACAACATATCTTGACATCTATTTCTATTGCATGACGCAAGAGGTGATGGCTGCATGACACTAAGGGGTGATGACTGCATGATTACAAGCCTTATGCTAATTTTGTTATCATTATTCGAAGTCGATATCGTACCACGGTATCACCACAGCACCTAGCACCATTACCAAGCTTACCACCAGTATTAACACTAAGCTTATAACTAGTACAGGTATTATATCACACCCACTAAACTTATCACGAGTATTATATCACAACTACTAAGCTTACTACGATTACTGTAGGCTATTACATCACAACCGCTATGCCAACCATGCAGTATATCAACCATTAAGCTTACCTGGAGTATTATATCAATTACTAAGCTTACCACAAGTATTATACCACAACCATCTCGACAAGAGTAAACAACAAACACTCGTATTATTATTAAATTAATGTTTACCAAGATTTCATCCTAATGTACAGTTGCCAGCAAAAGTTTTCCCTCAACACTGTGTAGCAGGGCTGTGGGAGGACTTTTGCTGTCAGCTGTACATATGCTTACTAACATTAATACTGTTGATATATGTTAATTGAATTTGCAGTTACAGCATTATTTTTTATCATTTGAATGTTGTTTAACTTGAGTTTATTTAAATGTTCATATATTTTTGTTAAATGATTTCTAAGATTTGTATTTATGAGAAGAATATTATGCGAATTTTTTGATAGATTGTCAGTTTAAAATATACTGCATTTAAAAGAATAGTAGGAAGAGGTTTTTGCTAATAATTGTTTATGAGTTGTGTAGTGGAGTATGTGTACAAGACAAGGGAAATATCATAAAAGAAAAGTGTTTTAAAATGGTCTAAACTATTGATTGCAAAGTTAAAATTGCTAAGATTCCGGTGTGATCCTAAAGTAAAATAATAGACTGGTTTTGTTGGTTAGATCAGGTTCTGTTAGGTTCTGTGCAATGTCGCTTTTATTTTTGTGTTTAGTATCATGCTAATGGTATCTCTAGAAATTTTGGTTCAATTCCATTGCTAACTGTGTTCTCCATCATTACCCATTTCACTAAATTCACTGAGCACAGATGCCAAGTTCACTGCTTCACAACAGCCTTCAGTATCTTGAGTAGCTCCCATGTAGGAAAATAACCCTTCACTATACACCCAGCACTGATGTAGTTGTCCTCTTTGTCCTACACACCTTAGTTTAGTGTAGCCTAGTACTGTACCAGTAGTTTGTACCGATGCTACCACGAGGTATGTTTCTACTGCCATAACACTACTACTATTACTGATAATACTACTACTATTACTACTCCTACTACCACCAATACTACTATCACTACTACTACTACCTACACCAATTTTACAGGTACTCCTACTGATATTACTATTACTACTACTTCTATACTACCAATACTACTACATTACTACTACCACTAATACTACTACCACAAATACTATTACCACTCGTCCTATAACCACTACAAGAGCTACAGCCGTTACAATAAACATTCACCTTACAGTATGGTAGTAATTCCTCATTAGTCCAAAGATGACACACAAAAAAAACCCTGATAGAAATAGCTACTGTGCCATACTACATTACTTATGTTCCTCTGCAGCCATCGTGTTCAACGCACCCACTCTACACAACCTGGATCAGTGCCGGACTCCTGAAGGCGCAGCAGGCACCTGTAAAAAACTACTCGACTGTCCGCTCCTTTACAACGCACTGAGGACAAGACCATCGAAAGAGTTTCTGAATTTCCTGAGAAGGTAATGAATAGAAAGATTGTTTATGCACTTAGTTTAGATAATTATCAGAGTACTGTAGTTGGGGAGAGTGATAGGTATGTTCTGTATAATATTTTCTCAGTTTGTCTGTCCTAATATAGTTTCCATTTCATATCTTGAAAGGTTTTGTTAGTTGAAGTAAGGTTCAGTATGGGAGCTTCTTGTTGTAAATGCCTAAAGATGTTATTTGATGGCCAGTGATGGTGTATGTCAGCCTCAGAGATTGTGTGTTTTCTTATTAACGAGAATATCAGTTTTTTAAAGACTGATTAATAACATTGATTTTGTATAGTAATTTTGCATTCATGTTGTTATACTCAAGAGACAGAATGTAGCTTCCTGAAATTAAGAAGTTGGCTGTTATACCCTTGACCCAGTTAATGTTACTAGACAGATTATTCACTCTGAACAGGTGAATGTCTTCCTGTTCATTAATTCTGTACAGGTGAAGGTGATCCTGTTGATTACTTAAAAGAGACGGTGTTTTCACTCAGTTTCCCTTCTCTCGCCTCTCTTGTATCTAAACGAGTCTCGTCATATTTTCACTCTTTCTATTTTTCTCTTTTCTTCTATTTACTCATCTTTTTTTTTCTGTTTACGCCAGTCTTCCCATTTATTTGTTATACCACTTTTTTCTCTGTGCCTTTCTGAAGCATGTCAAGATGTGTCCCTGTCTTCTCTCACAAGGAAAATGACATCCCTTTTACTTTTTCTTTCCACAGCAGCATATGTAGATATGAAATATCGTCACCTATCGTCTGTTGCGGCCATATGCCTCCGGCCATTCTTGATTCTACTACTATTACTTCTACTAGCACAACATCTAGTACCACAAGTATGTACACTCGAAAGATAGTGAAATTTTCTCTTGTAGTTAAGTCATTGTAAAAAGAGAGGTGTGGGTGTTTTTTGTAAACTGGAGTATATACCATACATAGGTGTGTGAAGGGGATAAAAAAGTACGCAATAGTATAGTCAAAGTGAAATTAGAATTACAGGTGAATAACCAATTACACCTAATCCTATATCCAACCTCGTCAACAACCACAGCAGCACCAACCACGACAGTCTCAGAGGAACCAACCACGTTGCCATCAGAGGTACCAACCACGTTACCATCAGAGGCACCAACCACGTTACCATCAGAGACACCAACCACGCTTCCAGTAGAACCCCCAACAACCCTACCAGTAGATCCACCAGTCACAACAACAGAGGTGCCACCACCCACAACAACTCCCGAGCCGGCTCCCTCTGGGGTTGACTTGCTGTCAGTTGAAACCTGTGGGATGGCCAGCACAACCAATGTCAGGATCGTAGGAGGCATTCCACCCCAAATAGGTATGTAAATACTCTTTGAAGGCAATTGAGTCTGTTTAAGGTGACTCTAATTCAATCTGATATCTTGTGTGTACACATTGATGTACTTATAAGGAGGTGGGAATAATTTGAAACTGCCTACTCTAAATTGGAAGATAACTTGGTTTCAGGATTTAAGAGCAAAGATTATGAAAAATGAAGAAACCAAGCATAAGGAAGTCTTCAAGAAATATCTCACAGGTCTCAAAAGGTTGTACTTTAAAGGTTTTGAATTCAATACAGGATTTAACATCAGCTTCCTGGTTTATAAATCACATAGTACAAAAGAAGCTACTGTATTTCCAAAGGTTAATGACAAGTTGTATGCAATATACCAGGAAAGAGAATCTGTGTCACGAGGATAATAGTGACAGTGTATTGGAAGTCAAAAGTGAAATAAAAAAAACTAGTGTGGAGGTAAAGGTTGTAGACATAAGGGGGTAGAGTGGAGGAATAAAGTTAGTACTTAAACACCTTCTGTAAACAGTGAACCATTAGTTGTAGTTGCCCGCACAAGAGTGAAAGTTACACCTTCCAATATTGGGCAGATAATGGAGAGAAAAGCGGAACTAATTCACAAACTTGAGGAATTAGATACGATAGGGAAGTTCCTTATCAGCCAACTCCCAAAGATACAAAATATTATACTTATCAATTTAGCACTCTAATGGACTTAGTTTTAGACACTCTCTCATGATATAACTTGTAAAATTATCCATGACACTTTGTAAGATGTGGTTAATAAAATATCTTCTCTATTTACCTCTCTCTGTGTGAAATGTGTGTGTATGTATAAGTGTGTGTGTGTGTGTGTGTGTCCAGTGTGTGTGTGTCCAGTGTGTGTGTGTGTGTGTGTGTCCAGTGTGTGTGTGTGTGTGTCCAGTGTGTGTGTGTCCAGTGTGTGTGTGTGTGTGTGTGTGTGTATACAAGAACCTAAGCCTGACTTGTAATGTTTCTGATCAGGATCGTACCCGTGGCTGGCTGCTCTGGGTTTCGTGAATGGCCAGGGCACTGTTGAGTTCCTGTGTGGTGGTGCCCTTGTCACTAACCAACACGTCGTCACTGCAGCTCACTGTGTCAGGAACCGCAATGACCTGTGAGTCACTTTGTTTTTTTAGTAATATTTGAAATATTTTTTATAAATGATCTCTCTGTATAAGTGTCTCAAGTACACTAACTTATTCTTCTCCCTCTTGCTTCTCAACATTCCTTTTATAAGTATCTCCATAAGAGTATCCTCCTTCACCTTTACCTCTCTCTTCAGTGACATAAAGGCTCCCAAGCTTATCTAGTTTCTTTTGCAAGTAGAGTAACTTCATCTTATATAGTAAAGCAACCCAAGATCTCTCTATCTCCTCTCCAATGAGGGATTCCATGAAAAAAATATGAAGCTTTTAACCAATGTGAGTTTGTGGGTCAAGTCAGCTTCTTTGTAGTGTGTACTCTAGTTCATATGTTTGTTCCTAGAGCTAGTTAAGGTTATTTGGTAATAATAATAATAATTTAATGTGGGACTCCTTTCCATGATGTTAGGACTCCCCCCTCACCCCAACTCCCCCTTTTCTTCTCTCATTGTTCCCTCACACTCTCACAGGAAGCTGGTTCGTCTTGGGGAGCATGACCTGAACAGGACCGACGAGGCTGTGCACGAGGACTTCGACATCATGAGTAGGACCATCCATGCCGACTTCAACCCAGTGTCCTTTGCCAACGATATCGCCATCTTGAAGCTTGACAGACCCGTCACTTTCAGGGGTGAGTGAGTGGCTGTTTGCTTATCTGTCTCCCATCCTTTGTAGGCTCTCTCTCTCTCTCTCTTGCTTGACTGTATTGTCTACCTATTTCTGGGGTTTTTCAAGTACTCCCAGTATTAGTAACATCCCCATTCTTTTTGGTGTTACAGACGCCATCCAACCTGTCTGCCTGCCGCTGCCCGAGAGGTTCGATAAGGACGACTTGGTAAGAAGTTTTGGCTTCATCGCGGGTTGGGGCTCTGTGTCTTTCAGTAAGTTGTGTAAAATACATGTATACTTAAACACACACACACACACACACACACACGTATATATATATATATATATATATATATATATATATATATATATATATATATATATATATATATATATATATATATATATATATATATATATATATATATATATATATATATATATATATATATATATATATAAAACAGACAAATTTGTATGTAATATATATGTAATATATGTATGTAATATATGTAATAAAGTGTATATACAGGTGATTCTTTAATCAAAGGGTGACAAAAAACATCATTGTACCAATTATTTAGTTGTAGGGTCAGCAACAAGTTTAGGGGGGAGGGGATTGAAGATCAACCATACCGTTCCTCTCGCTAATCCCATGTCTCGCATGGTGCAGATAACGTGTCGTCTAGTGTGCTGCTCCACGTAATGATTCCGATTATCTCACAAGAAGAGTGTAGTCAGAAGTACAGTGCCTTCAGGCAGATCTCTATCGATGAGACCACCATCTGTGCTGGGGTCGGGGGCCAAGATGCCTGTCAGGTGAGTCTCCCGTCATTGTCTCCGTCGCTTGCTTACACATCATGAATGCTCTCTATATAGGCATCACTGACGATTACCAAAACTGTGTATAAATAGTTGAATGGACAATATTAGTTTGCTGAGGAAGTGAAATTACAACCACATAATAATAATAATACTGTTAGTAATACTACTACTACTAGTAGCATTGTAGTAGTAATAGTAGTACAGTAGTGCAATATAGTACAGGTTGAACCTCACTAGTTTGGCAAGCTTGGGACCAGACTGGGACTATCTAAAATTCTGAGCCACCGAAAATTAGGTTTAAAAAAGGGAAAATTAATCTTAAGCTACTATACTGAAGGTCAACCTGCAGTAGAATTTGACCATTAACACTTGTAACAGGCCCCAGCAGGGCTCTCATCCATTTTGTATTGTTTTGCAGGGTGACAGTGGAGGACCCATGGTAATGTACTGGAAGAGTCAGATGTACATAGTCGGGGTTGTCTCCTTTGGGTTCAGATGCGCTGAACCCAACTTCCCCGGAGTATACACCAGAGTGAGCATGTACAACGACTGGATCATCCCCTTGCTCAACTAGCAGTGTACATAACAATTGTGACTTCAGACTATCAGGTATCTAAGAGACAGATAAACCTGGTGGCATTTTCTGACATGTTCCTGTGTGCAAGTGCGAGTGAGTGTATTGGTAGGTAGAGTACGTACAGTACAGTACCACCTCTGGAGAAATATGAAATGGTTTAGATGTGTTGGTATTTTTGATGAACATTATGATACAGTACAGTATTAGTGAAGTTCATGATATAGTATTAGTGTTTTTCCATCAGTCACTCATTGTTGCAATGTATTCTTTACTATGTTAATAATTTTTTATTTTAATTTATTTCTTAACTTTTCTCAGTGTCAGATAGATGTCATAACCTCAAACTGCCGGTAGTATGACAAGGCTCCTTGTAGTACTGTACTGTATAGGTTTAAAGTATTTAGAGAAAGTAGTAAGAATTGTTAGTTGTATTGCATTTATAAAAAAGTAGTAAGATAAATTATGAATATCAGTACAGTATTGCTTCAAGCTTTATTTTCATAATGTTGAAAATTTACATGATTCAGCTGTCATTACTGTACCTTTAATGACTGTTCATAAAGACTTAAGTTTCTGCACTTGGCAGTAAATATTGGGAATTATTGTTCAAAGCCTACTGGTATGTCATCGTTTAATACCTTCAAATAAGTGTAATCAATAAGGTCATACCCTATTCATTAATAATACACATTAATAACTGATGACTTGGATGTGATTATTTTCCAAAGAACAAGTGTTGTCCTGAGGGAGATCTTTGTGGAAATGAATTAGCATGCAAGGTATGACAGGTAGTGTAGTGTGTCATTACTGAAATTGGATTTAACCGCTATCAAACAGGGAGGTACTACCGCCTGGGAAGATATTGGAAGCATAATGTATTGTCTAATGGTAGACCCTGCTGCCATATGGCATCACAAAAATTGTGATCAAGTCCCAGGTTGCTGATCTGACTTTCTGCCTCATTTACACACAGTTGCAGGGCCTCAATTGTTCCTCTCAATTTGACAACACAACATACATACAGTATACCGTTTTTCTTTCTTGATCTTTATTATTATTATAATTTTATTTTATTTTTAATTTTGTATTTTTTTTAAATTATTATTATTATTATTATTATTATTAATATTATAATAATAATAATAATAATAATAATAATAATAATAATAATAATAATAATAATAATAATACATGTAATAATATTTTTGCCCCCCAGACCCCGATGTGGGTCAGTGACCTGTGTCTGGGTGGGCTAACCCCTGTAAAAAAGAAAAGAAAAAAAAGATAATAATTATGGCCGTCTATAATATATAGTACGAAGGCCGGCTATGGATCAAATCATTCTGAATTTTAATTGTGTCGACATAATCTGTTTCTCTTTGTTTCTTCAGTTGATGATGAAATTTTCTTTTGTTTGTAGTAATAGACAATACTCACTGTCAATTTGTGTGTACACTACTGTATATATTTATTATATGTATATACTGTACCTGTACAGGGTACAGTATACTGCATTTATGTTTGGAGAGACAGATGACTTCTGACTGTATTTGTGGGTCTGACCTTTATCCTCATAGAATAAATTTCACCACATACAGAGTTAAATGTTTATTCCTAGAGTTCACAACTCTCACTCCTACAAAGTTTGTCTTCACAATTTTCTGGACTTGTGGCTTTTTCAAACTTGAGCTGTGACCCCTTGTGGGGCGGATGTCCGCCAGCTCCAGGTATGGACATTCGACTGAGTAATGTCCTCCGAGATGTTTATAAATTCAGTTAAGTTACCCCTTGCCCATCTATATTATAAGCTAGGCAATTGCAGGTGTTCTAATCTCTCTGGGTAACTGAGGTGCTGCAGCACAGGCACCAGTCTGTTGGTCCTCCTTTGGACATTTTCAATTAACTGACAGTCTCTAGCATATCTCGGGGTTTAGTGATTCACGACTCGAATAACTCATAACTTTAGTAGTCGTACCTGACTGCTGACGTATTATTGACTGAAGTGTGTTTCTGGGGTCTAGAGAACAGTTGTTCATCATCATGCCACTCTCTTGCCATTTTTACTCTTTACTTTCAAATGTGATTGTCTGTGTTAATAGAATAAAATCTTTGTTAGTTTAATATTAAATTGAATGATATAGACATAATAGCAATGTGATATAATTAAGGTTTGTTGGTTTGAGTTGTATCCTTTATCATCTGTTATGTTATAGATTTGAAGGTTAACACATTTCATTTGTATTGAATGAAATTTAAAATAAAAAACGATTACAAACAGTGAATATGGTCATTTATTATTCCTTATCTCAACATGTGGTTCAGTTATCTCAGTTTCTCAGTAAAGAGATGGTTGGTGGCATATGTTCTAAAAATGGGTAATTTTCCTGCTCAGGATGGAATTCACACAACTGTTATTAAAAGTGCTCCGTGGAGTTTTTCTCATAATGCCTCAACTGAGTAGCAGGTGAAGGAAAATTTTTAACACACTTAAAATTGTTTTGGATAAGAACTGTGACATACAGTGCCTGGTGCATTTAGATACTGCTACAGAGACTAGTAATCGTTCCTCACTATAAGTGTTTGTAATTTCACATTGTATTTGAGTTTAACAAAGTGCTGTATTGCAATGCATGAAATTTTTTGTACCATATAAAAAATTCACAACTTTTTTTTCTAGTGTTTCCTACACTATGACACCTCAGTTACCCCGAGAGAATAGAACACTTGCAGTTGCCTTGTTTATACTACAATATACTGTAGTCGGATAACTTAATTGAAGTTTACATACATCTTGGATGGCATAACTCTGTCAAGTGTTCATACCTGGAGCTGGTGCATGCTGCCACACTAGCAGTCACAGCTTAAGGGACGAAGACGATAAAAGTAAAAATATATTCTCGTCTATTTTTAATTAATTGTTTTCTATGATCAGAATCTACTTGACTTTTGTTTTGCGTCTTCTCTAAGCTGATCCATTTCATCCAACAACTCATCTGCTTTTGACTCTTCTCTGGCTCCAACTTATGTCTCCATAAACCTGATAGCATCTACTGCTTCCTCAGCCTCCGTAGCTTTTCCGGTCTTTTTGGGGGGGGGGGGTGGTATTCCAAATGCATGAAATATTATGTACAGTACATATCTCTTATTACTGTCTTGGTTTCAATGTCCAAGGACAGATGTGAGAAAGCTATAATCCAGTGTGACACTACCAAACATCACCAAACTACTGTACTTTATTCTTTGTACAGCACTTTTATTTAAACTTGGGCCAAACTCTGCTTTTGGGTCATTTCACAACAGATAAACATAGAGGGTTAAGGAAAATTGAAAAATTCTAAAATGTTTATTGTATTTGGAAAAATGCACACAAACTCTGAAAGTGTTTCCCTATGATTATTTGCTGTACAAGATACAATATTTTGTTTGGCGGGCTGTGTGGTGACTATCGCCAGCGATGACAGCATCAGAACAACTAGACTGCCTGCGTCTAGGTGCCCGTGCGTGTAGGGTCAACACCTGGTAGAGGTGCCACATGTATGCTTTTTCCTTGTTCAAGCACTTCTTACTATATGACTGACACTGGCATCTACATATCATCAAGTGAATAAAAGATAATTTAGATTATGATTAAGTTATAGTTGTCAAAAGTTTCCAATTTGGATAAATATCACTTGACGTCATGTGAATTATCAGTCAGCCTTTAAATGTATGCCCTCCTTAGCCAGCATTATCGTTTGATAAAGCTGCAAGAAGGTTTGAGGTGATCACGTGCCAAAACCACCACTATTAGAAATTTTTATGGACACACAATAGACTGCAAGAGACTATATAATATTCAAAGATTTTAATCCTTCCTTGCCACACGACAGAGCTGCTTTATGTATGTATAATGACAATAATGTATGTTAGAATGAGTTATTAAATCATGTGGTAAGGAAGGCAGCTACATGGATGAAATGTATACAGTATAAGCATGAGGAATTCTGTGTAGCCTATTGCATGATAAAGGCACTACTGGATATACTTTCCTCATATGCCAGGGGTGGCCAACTAGCCTTCTCTGAGCTACTAGAAACTGTGGCTTTTAGAACACCCACAATAGTAAAAAATGAAAAATATCCATACTGTATTATACATATTATCTTTAGTAGTATGCTTATATTATCAATATATACCAAGTAAGTCCTTGTATTTTTATTTTGTCATTTTTGTTGATTGACTTCGCTGCCAATTCTGTGCAAGTCCATTTCTGCCCTCAAACACATGAAATCCAAACACTGATCTGTTCTACTTTGTTTATCCTCAGCTGAAGAAGAGACAAACTTCAAGAAAATTGTTGATAAAGTTGTGATGGGTAGCAGAAGAGCCACTGAGTTTAAAGTTGTCAAAGAGAGGTAAGAAAGTTTGTTGTTATTACCAATATTATTTTTATTTTTGAAAATAAAATATTCGTAGTGTACCACAAGACACTCTTGTGGCTCTAGAAGTGTATCCGGGTTTGTCTGCCTCTAGTTGGCCACCACTGTCATATGCTACACTTCCTACTACCACAATGTTGTACAGTATGTGGTCAGTACTCGCCTGAAATTCATCCTTTGAATCACTTCATTAAATATGTACATTTATAGTGACATAGTTCACAGTCTATGAAGCAAGGAGAGGGACTTAAGAAAGAAGATTCACTTAGAAAAATATAGTTTTTAGCAATTCAACCAAAGCCGAAGACCTGGACTTAATAGTTCTTCAAAGTTGTATTATTTTAAAACAAATGATAGAAATAAGAGAGGAGATTCCAAAGTTGTTGATGTTATGAATTACTCTGCTTTAACGATTCCTGTGCTTCACATTAGTTCAGACTCCAACATTTAAAAACAACCAGTACCTCTATACGTCTTCCCAGACACGTTTCCTATACAGCTACATCAGCAGTGGCGTTATGCCGCTTTTACCGCTGTAACATTGGAGGTGTATTTTGGTGGAACTCTGAGATCTTTCTGTTTTACTCCAGGATAATCAGTGTAACTTGATAGTGTTTCTGTACTTCCTTTTATAGTAAACTTAGGACCATCGAGCCACAGTTGGTCAGAATTTACCTTTTCTAATTTTGGACGCCTGGATTCATGACCTCGGTAACTATACTGAATTTCTGAAATTTCACCAAATTTACCTTCTGGTTTTAAGGATGGACTGTGACGCCTGGCAATGTTTCTCTGAGTGTCAAAGCTTTTGTATTTATCGTGAAGTTCTGATATCTCTCCAAACTCACCTTCAGGTTTGAGTTTTCCACTGTGGCGTTTAGCAATATTCCTATTTGTCCCCTTTTGTCTGTACTTGTCTTTAACTTCTGTGGTCTCACTGAAGTCACCCTCAGGTTTGAGTTTATCCGTGTGGCGTTTAGCAATGTGCCGTTTGGGATCATGTGTTCTATACTTATCTTGAAGCTCTGACGTCCCACCAAAGTTGCCTTCAGGTTTGAGTTTGGCGCTGTGACGCTTAGCAATGTTTCTTTGTGTCTCTAGACTTCGATATTTATCTTGAATTTCTGTGATTTCTCCAAACTGACCTTCAGGCTTTAGGTTAGCAGAATGTTTCTTTGCAATATTTCTTTGACTGTCCAAGGGTTTATATTTGTCATGAACTTCTGAGGTTTCACCAAAGTCTCCTTCAGGAAGAAGATTACCAGAATGTTTCTTTGCTATATTTCGATGAGTTTCCAAAGCCTTGAATTTGTCATGAACCTCTGAGGTTTCACCAAAGTCCCCTTCAGGCCTGAGGTTAGCAGAATGTTTCTTTGCTATATTTCGATGAGTTTCCAAAGCCTTGAATTTGTCATGAACTTCTGAGGTTTCTCCAAATTCCCCTTCAGGCCTGAGGTTAGCAGAATGTTTCTTTGCTATATTTCGATGAGTTTCCAAAGCCTTGAATTTGTCATGAACCTCTGAGGTTTCACCAAAGTCCCCTTCAGGAAGAAGGTTACCAGAATGTTTCTTTGCTATATTTCGATGAGTTTCCAAAGCCTTGAATTTGTCATGAACCTCTGAGGTTTCACCAAAGTCCCCTTCAGGCCTGAGGTTAGCAGAATGTTTCTTTGCTATATTTCGAACCTCTGAGGTTTCACCAAAGTCCCCTTCAGGCCTGAGGTTAGCAGAATGTTTCTTTGCTATATTTCGATGAGTTTCCAAAGCCTTGAATTTGTCATGAACTTCTGAGGTTTCACCAAAGTCCCCTTCAGGAAGAAGGTTACCAGAATGTTTCTTTGCTATATTTCGATGAGTTTCCAAAGCCTTGAATTTGTCATGAACTTCTGAGGTTTCTCCAAATTCCCCTTCAGGCCTGAGGTTAGCAGAATGTTTCTTTGCTATATTTCGATGAGTTTCCAAAGCCTTGAATTTGTCATGAACTTCTGAGGTTTCTCCAAATTCCCCTTCAGGCCTGAGGTTAGCAGAATGTTTCTTTGCAATATTTCGATGAGTTTCCAAAGCCTTGAATTTGTCATGAACTTCTGAGGTTTCACCAAAGTCCCCTTCAGGAAGAAGGTTACCAGAATGTTTCTTTGCTATATTTCGATGAGTTTCCAAAGCCTTGAATTTGTCATGAACTTCTGACGTTTCACCAAAGTCCCCTTCAGGCCTGAGGTTAGCAGAATGTTTCTTTGCAATATTTCGATGAGTTTCCAAAGCCTTGAATTTGTCATGAACTTCTGAGGTTTCACCAAAGTCCCCTTCAGGAAGAAGGTTACCAGAATGTTTCTTTGCTATATTTCGATGAGTTTCCATAGCCTTGAATTTGTCATGAACTTCTGACGTTTCACCAAAGTCCCCTTCTGGCCTGAGGTTAGCAGAATGTTTCTTTGCTATATTTCGATGAGTTTCCATAGCCTTGAATTTGTCATGAACTTCTGACGTTTCACCAAAGTCCCCTTCAGGCCTGAGGTTAGCAGAATGTTTCTTTGCTATATTTCGATGAGTTTCCAAAGTCTTGAATTTGTCATGAACTTCTGAGGTTTCACCAAAGTCCCCTTCAGGAAGAAGGTTACCAGAATGTTTCTTTGCTATATTTCGATGAGTTTCCATAGCCTTGAATTTGTCATGAACTTCTGACGTTTCACCAAAGTCCCCTTCTGGCCTGAGGTTAGCAGAATGTTTCTTTGCTATATTTCGATGAGTTTCCATAGCCTTGAATTTGTCATGAACTTCTGACGTTTCACCAAAGTCCCCTTCAGGCCTGAGGTTAGCAGAATGTTTCTTTGCTATATTTCGATGAGTTTCCAAAGTCTTGAATTTGTCATGAACTTCTGAGGTTTCACCAAAGTCCCCTTCAGGAAGAAGGTTACCAGAATGTTTCTTTGCTATATTTCGATGAGTTTCCATAGCCTTGAATTTGTCATGAACTTCTGAGGTTTCACCAAAGTCCCCTTCTGGCCTGAGGTTAGCAGAATGTTTCTTTGCTATATTTCGATGAGTTTCCAAAGCCTTGAATTTGTCATGAACCTCTGAGGTTTCACCAAAGTCCCCTTCAGGAAGAAGGTTACCAGAATGTTTCTTTGCTATATTTCGATGAGTTTCCAAAGCCTTGAATTTGTCATGAACTTCTGAGGTTTCACCAAAGTCCCCTTCAGGCCTGAGGTTAGCAGAATGTTTCTTTGCTATATTTCGATGAGTTTCCAAAGCCTTGAATTTGTCATGAACTTCTGAAGTTTCACCAAAGTCCCCTTCAGGCCTTAGGTTACCAGAGTGTTTCTTTGCAATATTTCGATGAGTTTCCAAAGTCTTGAATTTGTCATGAACTTCTGAGGTTTCACCAAAGTCCCCTTCAGGCCTGAGGTTAGCAGAATGTTTCTTTGCTATATTTCGATGAGTTTCCAAAGCCTTGAATTTGTCATGAACTTCTGAAGTTTCACCAAAGTCCCCTTCAGGCCTTAGGTTACCAGAGTGTTTCTTTGCAATATTTCGATGAGTTTCCAAAGTCTTGAATTTGTCATGAACTTCTGAGGTTTCACCAAAGTCCCCTTCAGGCCTGAGGTTACCAGAATGTTTCTTTGCAATATTTCGATGAGTTTCCAAAGCCTTGAATTTGTCATGAACCTCTGAGGTTTCACCAAACTGGCCCTCGGGTTTCAGGGTGGCTCCATGCTTTGGTGCAATTAGTCTTTGTCTCTCTAATTGCCGGTACTTGTCTTTAATTTCGGACATCTCCCCAAATTGTCCCTCTGGTTGGATGTTTGACTTATGTTTAGGGGCAATGTTACGTTGAGGTTTTACTTCGCGATATTTGTCATGAACTTCAGTTATATCATTGAATTCCCCTTCAGGATGAAGGTTTGAGCCCATCTTCTTTACTGTTGGCCTCTTGGTTTGGAACTCACGGTATTTATCCCGAGCTTCGGAAGGTTCGCCGAACGTCCCCGATGCCTTAAGATTTGATTTCTGCCGCCAGATGACAGGTCTCTCGGCGGCAACTTCACGAAACTTGTCCTTAGCTTCACTCTTTTCTCCAAAGGTCCCAACAGGCTTGAGGTTGTCGGGGAGCCGGTAGGAGTGGCGCTGGTGGCCTTCCAAGTCGTGGAACATTGAACCGTACTCTGAGCTGCTTCCAAAGTTCCCTTTACTTTTTAAACTTGTACCTACTCTTCTTCTCTCGGGTCTGGAAGGGTCAGTGGGCTGATACTTTTCTTGAATTTCAGTGATTTCTGCAAACTTTCCAGTACTCTTGAGGTTATCATACATTTTATTCACCCGTGATCTCTGAGGATGGTGACTCTGGAACTTGTCCTGGATCTCAGACTTCTCACCAAACTCTCCTTGCTGGCGGAGGTTATCCGTGGTCTTATTTAGAGGAGGACGTTTGGCGTTCTGGTTCCTATATTTATCTTTATTCTCTGAAAGTTCACCAAAGTTACCTTGTTGACGTAAGGTATCATTATTCTTCTTCAGCTCAGGCCTCCTTACATTCTGTTTCTGAAATTTATCTTTTACTTCTGATATATCTCCAAACTTACCTTCCTGCTGAAGATTATCCCTTTTCTTTTTGGCAGTACGTCTCTGGACACCCTTTTCAATGAACTGCTTCTCGTATTCTGTATCTTTGACAAAATTTCCCTGTGTTGTGAGATTTGCTCCTTGTTTCTGAATTACTGGACGCTGTGTGTCGAACTTACAATGTTTGTCGTGAGTCTCGGTAGTCTCACCAAAATCTCCTTCCTGACGTAGATTATCATTTTGTTTTATCTCCCGAGATCTTTGTGCACCTTTTTCATCAAACTGTTTATTGTATTCTGTTTCACTAATAAAGTTGCCCTCTGTTGCTAGATAGGCTCCCTCATGATATACCACTGGACGCTGGGTATCAAACTTGTGGTATTTATCATGATTTTCGGTTATTTCGCCAAAACTTCCTTCTTGCCTCAAATTGTCACTTTTTTTATTTGAAATACGCTTCTCAGAACCTTTTTGGTGGTATTGCTTAGTGTACTCTGTATCCTTAGTGAATTCTCCTTCAGTTAACAGATGGGTTCCCTGTGTCTGTATAACAGGTCGTTGGGTGTCAAACTTGTGGTGTTTGTCGTGTGTTTCTGTTACTTCACCAAAGTCTCCTTCCTGCTTCAAGTTGTCGCTGTTCTTCTTAGCAGTTCTTTTATCAGAACCTTTCTGGTGGAACTGTTTATTATACTCTGTATCTTTCTCAAAATTTCCTTCTGTTCCTAAATGGTCTCCATGCTTCTTTACTACAGGTCGTTGGGTGTCAAACTTGTGGTGTTTATCGTGTGTTTCTGTTACTTCGCCAAAATCTCCTTCTTGTTGCAGATTGTCATTATGTTTGGCCCCTTTTGTTTTTTGGGCTTTTTTTTTTGCAAATTCTTTTTCGTATTCAGTGTCCTTAGAGAAGTTACCTTCTGTACGGAGGTGAGCGCCCTGACGATAAACCACTGGTCGTTGGGTGTCAAACTTGTGGTGTTTATCGTGTGTCTCTGTTACTTCGCCAAAATCTCCTTCTTGTTGCAGATTGTCATTATGTTTGGCCCCTTTTGTTTTTTGGGAGTTTTTTTTTGCAAATTCTTTTTCGTATTCAGTGTCCTTAGAGAAGTTACCTTCTGTACGGAGGTGAGCGCCCTGACGATAAACCACAGGTCGTTGGGTGTCAAACTTGTGGTGTTTGTCGTGTGTCTCTGTTACTTCGCCAAAGTCTCCTTCTTGTTGCAGATTGTCATTATGTTTGGCCCCTTTTGTTTTTTGGGAGTTTTTTTTTGCAAATTCTTTTTCGTATTCAGTGTCCTTAGAGAAGTTACCTTCTGTACGGAGGTGAGCGCCCTGACGATAAACCACAGGTCGTTGGGTGTCAAACTTGTGGTGTTTGTCGTGTGTTTCTGTTACTTCGCCAAAGTCTCCTTCCTGCTTCAAGTTGTCGCTATTCTTCTTAGCAGTTCTTTTATCAGAACCTTTCTGGTGGAACTGTTTATTATACTCTGTATCTTTCTCAAAATTTCCTTCTGTTCCTAAATGGTCTCCATGTTTCTTTACTACAGGTCGTTGGGTGTCAAACTTGTGGTGTTTATCGTGTGTCTCTGTTACTTCGCCAAAGTCTCCTTCTTGTTGCAGATTGTCATTATGTTTGGCCCCTTTTGTTTTTTGGGAGTTTTTTTTTGCAAATTCTTTTTCGTATTCAGTGTCTTTAGAGAAGTTACCTTCTGTACGGAGGTGAGCGCCCTGACGATAAACCACAGGTCGTTGGGTGTCAAACTTGTGGTGTTTGTCGTGTGTCTCTGTTACTTCGCCAAAGTCTCCTTCTTGTTGCAGGCTATCGATGTGTTTGGCCCCTTTTGTTTTTTGGGCGTTTTTTATTGCAAATTCTTTTTCGTATTCAGTGTCCTTAGAGAAGTTACCTTCTGTACGGAGGTGAGCGCCCTGACGATAAACCACTGGTCGTTGGGTGTCAAACTTGTGGTGTTTGTCGTGTGTTTCTGTTACTTCGCCAAAGTCTCCTTCTTGTTGCAGATTGTCATTATGTTTGGCCCCTTTTGTTTTTTGGGAGTTTTTTTTTGCAAATTGTTTTTCGTATTCAGTGTCTTTAGAGAAGTTACCTTCTGTACGGAGGTGAGCGCCCTGACGATAAACCACAGGTCGTTGGGTGTCAAACTTGTGGTGTTTGTCGTGTGTTTCTGTTACTTCGCCAAAGTCTCCTTCCTGCTTCAAGTTGTCGCTGTTCTTCTTAGCAGTTCTTTTATCAGAACCTTTCTGGTGGAACTGTTTATTATACTCTGTATCTTTCTCAAAATTTCCTTCTGTTCCTAAATGGTCTCCATGCTTCTTTACTACAGGTCGTTGGGTGTCAAACTTGTGGTGTTTATCGTGTGTCTCTGTTACTTCGCCAAAGTCTCCTTCTTGTTGCAGATTGTCATTATGTTTGGCCCCTTTTGTTTTTTGGGAGTTTTTTTTTGCAAATTCTTTTTCGTATTCAGTGTCTTTAGAGAAGTTACCTTCTGTACGGAGGTGAGCGCCCTGACGATAAACCACTGGTCGTTGGGTGTCAAACTTGTGGTGTTGGTCGTGTGTTTCTGTTACTTCGCCAAAGTCTCCTTCCTGCTTCAAGTTGTCAGTATTCCTCTTGGCAGAACGTTTATAAGAATCTTTTTTGTAGAACTGCTTGTAGTACTCTGTGTCGTTGGCAAGGTTACCTTCAGTGGTAAGATTGGCTCCCTGTCGCTGCACCACGGGTCGTTGGGACTCAAATTGACGATGTTTGTCTTGAGTTTCTGTGACCTCTCCAAACTCACCCTCCTGTTGAAGATTATCTCTTGCCCTGTTTAGTTTACCGGGTTTTTCTGAACCTTTCTTGTAATATTGTGTGTGGTATTCAGTGTTTTCCTCAAAGTTTCCCTGAGTGCTGAGGTTTGTCCCTTGCTTCTTTACGACAGGACGCTGGGAGTCAAACTGGCGGTGCTTGTCGTGAGTTTCTGTTAGTTCACCAAACTCTCCTTCAGGAGCGAGGTTGGTGCCGTGTTTGTATACGACTGGGCGGGAGGTTTCGTAAGTCTGGTACTTTTCCTTATGCTCGGTTTTCCCGTCAATGGCACCTCCTGCACCAAGGTTGTCCTTCTTACGGTTAGCCTGAAATAGTTCAGAAACATGACACAAACTTCTTATCATAAAAATACCTTAACATTAAGTACTATTGTATTATTACTGTTTCCATTAGGGTCCTTGCTAATTGGGGATATTTGTAAATTAATGATAATTTCTATATATTTATCGACATATCACATGCGATGAAAAAAGATTCACAAATTCTTAATAATGCCAGAAATTACTAATAATGGCAGTGGGTCTTGAGTTAAGCCGTTACAACAGATTGAAGGACAGATGTAGGCGGTCAGCTGTCGAGATACAGTACCAGTGACATCAAAGATTTAATGTCAACAAACTCTTTCTGATAGTGGTAATTAGACAACTCCTAACTGAAATTTTTTAAAAGAGCATTTAAAAGTGAATTACTATACTGGTGAAAGATAAAATTTGGTCATAAAACAATAACAGCGTAGTTCTGAATAACCTGTATTTTCTATCATAGCCCTTGAACCAATCTGAGGTCTGGGTTGACAGTTGTATCCTTGAACTAACCTGAGCTTTGTGTTGGCTGTCGTAGGCCCTGTAGGCGGACTTGAGTTCAGATGTTCCACCAAACTCTCCCTCTGGCTTAAGGTTAGACCCGTGCTTGTAGATGATAGGTCGGTCGTATGTGTAGGCGGGACTATAGTCTATGTACCCACCGGGAGAATCGTACGGCTGCTCAGTTGTCTCGTAGTTCTCGTCGTATATTTGATCGTTGGGGTCGTACGTCGGATCGTTGGGGTCGTACGTCGGATCGTTGGGGTCGTACGTCGGATCGTTGGGGTCGTACGTCGGATCGTTGGGGTCGTACGTCGGATCGTTGGGGTCGTATGTCGGATCGTTGGGATCGTATGTTTGGTTATTAGGGTAGTTGTCCTGGTTGCTGGTGTCGAAACCCGGGTCGTTGGAGTCAAAACCCAAGTCGTCCGGGCCGTAGCCCTGGTCGTTTGGGTCTTGGCCCTCGTAGTACTGGCCGTAGGTGTTGTAGTCGGGATCGTTGTAGGGATCCTGGCCACTTGCCTCCCTGTTGACAGAGATTGACACGAGTCTCTTGGTTGGTTGAGGAACATTAATGAAAATATATAGAGGGAAAGAAGAGATAAAAACAAGGAAGTAAAATATTAAAAGAATAAGATAAAAAGTGGATGGATGTAAAGAAATAGAGAGAAGGTAAAGATAGAATAATGGGGGAATTAAATGAACAGGGGATAAAATCGACAAGAAAAAAATACAGAAAAGGGAGACATAGGATAAACAAAGGGGATAAAGAGATGGAGAGAGTAAGAGAAAAACGAAACAAACAACACCATAAATAATGATAAAGCCGTATATAGGTCACCGTGAGTCAGAAAACACTGCGACTCCCTAATGCTACTTGCTGGGGTTAGATTAGGTTGAGATAAGTTAAGTAAGGTGAATTAGGTTATCTTAACTTGATTTTAGGGTAATTAATCATGAGGTGAAATAATCTGGGTAACTAATCTTAATGCGATCTGATTTTTGCATTTGTGTTTTTACGTAATTTTTAACTAATGGTGATCCTCCCCCTAAAAAAATCAATATTACTTACGGGTAGTAGGAATAAGTTGGGTCCTGTTGCTGGGAGGTGTCGTATGGGTAGTTGTAGTTGAGGTCGGTGTAGGGGAGGGTGTTGACCGCCGGTTGATAGGCGTTAGTCGTTCCGTCACCGTAGCGG